TACTCATATTAATTGGAATTTAATGATTTTTTGTCATAAATTCTTTAATTGCGTAAAAGCCGGTTCAAGTTCCATTCTTGATTTTCGCAATTGACAAAGCGTTTAACGCTATTGGCTGTACTGTTACACACACAAGTGCTAGATGTACGTGTGTGTATTCGTTCTGTTTAATTTGTATTAGTTTTAAGTTCTTAAAATCGTTGCTCAGTTTCATTACATTTTCAGAAACGATGAGAAAATATCCACCAATGCGCGCTCTGTTCCGGAGGTGTAATAAAGATTTCAAAGTACCTGACAGTGATTTTGTTATAGAAAACGGTACATTACTGTTTATACCCATTCAAGCCATACAAATGGACCCTGATATTTTCGAAAATCCGGAGCAATTCGACCCAGAGCGATTCACACCGGAGAAGAAAGCTAAGATGCATCCATGTCATTGGATGCCGTTCGGGGAGGGACCTAAGAAATGTTTAGGTAATTCGTGATTAATTACACACAATAATAGTATATTTCATCTATCTTAATGCTATGTACAATACATTTTATTAATAATTACCACTTTTATTATTATCGTTGCTATAAGTCATGTAAGTCACGATGTATGGCTTTACAGTTCGTGAACTTTACAATTTTATGCCTTGAAAATTATTAATTTCGTTGTACTAAGAATTTATTGGCATACGACGAAAGTATAGACATTCATACAATTTTAGTATATTATAAAAGGAAACGTTTTTTATCGTAGTGTAAAACATAATTTGACAGATAACAAATAAATAAGTAAGCTCAAAAGACATGCCTTGTCGTTGGCCATTCTAGACCAGGGTAGAATTAAAAAAAATATATAAAAAACATAGTAGGATGAAACCCATTGGAAAAGGAGGAGAATATTATAAACATGAAAGGAAAAATAATTTACGGGCGATCTGAGGTCGGGAAGGGGGAAGTTAGTTTTGCCGGAAATCGAGATAAACCGTTTTTTACCCTTAAAAGCTCACCCACCAAAAATCATCGACCCTGGTCTATTCGCCGATCCTTTTCGAAATAAAGTGATAAAAACTACCTTCTAATTAAACCCATCAAAACATACGCCTAACATTTGGTGGTATTGCAGTGATTTCTTAAGTTTTCTCAGGAAATGCGGGATTTTGCTCAAGCAGGAATTATGTGGGACTCTTTACACCACCTGAATACTCAAAATAGAAAATTAATATGTACCTATGTCTTTATTTCAGGTATCCGTCAAGGCTACATACAATCAAAAATGTTGTTAGTGAAATTACTCACCAAATATGAACTAGCATTGGACGAAAAAACAGAAGATCCAATTCGAATCAAGGCAACATCATTTTCTTGCGCTCCTGAGAGTGGTATTTGGATCAAATTAAAAAAAAAAGATTATTTTTCTTGAAATTAAATACGTATATTAATGGAAGTTAAAAGGGCTTAAACTATTTTGTACTGTTTGAAAATACTGTTAATGATTTATAAAATAGTTTTTCAAATAAATTTTTCTTTTTCGAAGGACAATATAATAATGTTGAAAAAGATTTTCGACAATCGGAAGTTTCAGTTTTTACGAAATAATCTGTATAATAAGTATTACAAATAAATAAAATTAAGATAAAATAAAATAAATTGTGTGTGTTTGTTGTTGTCGTCGTCATAACCAATTAGCAATGATAGGACTCTGAACCTAAAAATAAATAATCAAAATATAATTTATGCATGTAGATTGTAGGTAGATAACTATTACAAAATTTGCATCAACTCCTATACTTTTAAATTAAAGGGCGTAGAACGGACAAGAAGAACTGGCAATTATTTTCTTTTACATGACACAGGAGCTGAAATCATAACACCTTGCTTCCCAAAACATGAAACAACGAATATAAAATCAGTTATATTAAATTACACAAAGTGGTACTTTAAAAAAAAACAAAATATCATTTATTCATATAGGTACTTTAATGTACACTTATGAACGTCAGAAAAGTGTATGCTTCTAAATTAACATTTACTGCCAGTTCTCAAATCAAGGGAGTAGAACGGACGAGAAGAACTGGCAATAACAGCGCTCCGCATACCTATTGAAATAACTCGACTATGTATAGTCTGACATCGTAAGATTGGAATTGCGCGGTACAACAATTTAAAATAAAAGTCGGCTTCGCAATCGCTATTGGCAGATAAACAGTATAGATAGAATACTTAATTTGGCCCCCGAATTTCTATTCAAAAATTTTTTTTATTTATTATTGTACTTTACTTCGCTTTACTAAAAGTGTAAAACCTTATGTTAATAAATATTTTAGTAATGGTATTGTCTAATTTAAACAATCGCACAGTTGGAAAACGGGAAATTCAATCTCGAAGGACGTTGGACGTTGCAGTTAGAGTCCTTTTCCTGAAAGAAGTCCCGCGGAGATTTTTGGAACTAAATTTAACAGGTCGGCCATTTTGTCGTTCGTCGATGTTATCAAGTTCGTTTGTTGTGGTATATTTTAGTGAGTTTTTAACTAGCTTAGTGCATTTTAAAGATTGTTTACAATGCCAAAAGTAGTAAAAAGTTCGGCTCGAGAAATGATATTGAAGGTGAAAGAGTTTTGTGAAGCGGAACAAAAGAATCAAGGTGTTTTAATACCAATAAACAATGGTCGGAAGAGAGTCGCCGCCATAACAGGTAATTTTTAGAGTTGCCACATAATAATTTTTTGCTGTATTGATAGGACTTTTATGATATAAATTCATTTTTGCGACAAAATTGAACAAATACATAACGAATGAAACTGGGTAAATGAAATAAAAACATATATTATATAGTACATAAGCATTATAAACTTAAAGTTACTATTATTATTAATTGTTCATTATTTAATTGCAGGTGTGTCAGAGAGAACTGTAACAATAATTACAGCGGCGAGTACTTCGAAAAAAATTGTATCAATATAAAAAAGAACAAATATATCTACGGCTAGTGATACTGAAACATAATCTGTTTCCATCCACTCTTCAGACAGTGATGTTCCTATGGCCGCTGATCACAATTATTCAATAAAACTCTAAATAAAAAATTGTAATGCTTTTCTTTACCCTATTTTCTCATGTTATCCCTGTAAGTAGGTAGAACACCGCTTATATAAGTAAATAAAAATATACTTTTTACATAACATAGATATTGTTTCATCGAAGTATGCAGAAAATAGTATTGTTTGATAAATTAAATATGCTAAATGTAAAATAGGTAAATTTTTTACTCAAAAATGGCAACATTACGTCACGCGATTACAGCGCTGCGTCTGGGGGACTTCTTTCATGAAAAGGACTATAGGTAGCTTTACAGCCCCTCTAGACAAGTGGCTTCATATTTATCCCAGTTCGATAAAGTCAAAGTCAAAATCATTCATTCACTTAGGTACCACAATGTACACATATGAAGGCTAACTAACGCTGTAGGATTATCGTTATTAAATTGTAATTAATTGGGTTGAGATGTGGGGTCTCTCTGCGTCTTCGATCTCCATTTACCATGGAGAATGTTCAGACGAGTTGTACCTGAAGAGTTTCTTTTGCTGAGGCAGTTTGAGCCGCTCACCACCCTATGTGGAACCAGCTGCCCACAGATGTGTTTTCGAACCAATAGAATACATTATTTAAAAATTCAAAATATTAGATAGTTCATAAAATTGCCTTTTATGAAAAGAAACATTTCGTCTAACAATTAAACTTTAATGAATTTTTACCACGCTCAGTTTTTTACAAACTCTAAATTCGAAAGTACTTAGTAAGCACTCAAATTAAAAATATTTACTTTTATCGGCAATATACATAATTACACTTTTAAAAATATTATAGAAATAATTAAAAGAAACCCTAATACTTTCTAAGTACATTTTTAAATAATTGTATTGACTTTGCTATGATTGCAGTCATCAGTAATAGTGACAAGCCAAAGCTAGTCTTTTTACACAGACTAACAAACATACAATTAAATGAAACGTCAGTTTTGACACATGACAAATAAAAGAAACATAATTATTTCATGTCCCCTTAGTTGTAGTGCTATTTTAGTATGTATAAGAGACTTGTAAACTGCAGGTGCAGGTAGCACGGCAGCATCAATTGAACTATATTATAATTCCGTTGATGAAATCTCACATAAAATTACTTTTTAGTTGTTTTATTTGAGAATAAACGCAATGATAAAGTAACATTTACGTAAACATCTTATTTAAAAACACATTTTAAAGAGAATATACTTAACTGAATAAAAATAATTCTTACAAGTCTTCTTAATAATTCGTAATTCTTAGTTTGTTTTTTTAAACATAAGTAAACATTTCACAATAACGGACTGCAATCGCGTGTGCGCCATTTTGTATCGGTTTCTACAAGGTTTTGGCGTTCGCTACGATTCGGCTACAATTTCTATAGTTTATCGTTTGACGAATTTTTTCATAGACTTTATCAACATTTTGCGACTAAAAATCTATTCGATACGTTACGTCATCCAAATGAGAAGTCAGTCTTTAATAATAAAACTTACATCGAACCAGATGGGGTGAAGTTTTTGACTGAAAATCAAATTGTTATCATATAATTGGAAAAACTAGAGATTTTTAAACTTTATTTCAATACTAGTAATACAAAAAATTTGTTATCCTAACACCATTTGTGTTCACAATTCACATAAAAATTTGTTGTTAAATTTCTTTATTTTAAAACGAAATGTGACGTAGAATAAATAAATTACTATAGTCAATATATAAAAGTCAAAGTTAATTAAGGTTGCAGGAATGATTTACAGAAGCACTTAATCATGTGAAAGCAAAAACTATTCAAATAATATTTATAAAGTAAAAACTATCTTTAAATTGCAGTTATTTATGAGTGGATTAACAAAAACTTTAATAATATAAATATTTTTGAACCTTTAAAAGCCGGATTTGAAACGACCGACCATTCAGGGGTATTATGCTGTGTCAGATACACGAAAAATGTATCCTTTATTATTTATACCGGCAATTATTTCAATTATAAGCACAATTTTTATCTACTTGTGGTTCAAAAGGAAGTATTCGTATTGGGAGAAGAAGGGCGTGCCGGGACCAAAACCGTCGTTTCCCTTTGGTAATGTCCGCGACGTGATAAAGCGCAAAAAACAAATTTTCCAGCCGTACTGTGACGCTTATTTTCAATATAAAAAGAACCCCATGGTTGGCCTTTACTGCTTCAATATACCAGTATTGTGCATCAACGATCCAGAACTAGCCAAACATATTCTAATCAAGGATTATAACTATTTCCAATCACATGGGGTATTTTCAAGTTCGGAAACCAGCGATCCTCTCGGAGGTCATCTCTTCCATATCCACGGCCCAAAGTGGAAGTCTCTTCGATCAAAGCTCTCCCCGACATTCAGTCCAGCTAACTTGAGGTCACTTTTCCCTCATGTAAAGAAAGCAGCAGAAGAAGGTCTGGAGTATGGTGACTTAATGTATGAGAATGGTACACCGATCAATTTTACAGAATTTTTTGGTAAATACGCGGTAGAAATTGTCGGTAATGTCGGTTTTGGAATTAAAAATGATGGCTTTAAAAGAGGCGAAACCGAGTTTCATGGGCGATGCCGACAGTTTTTTGAATACACGTCAATATATTGGTAAGTTAAAGTTAATTTTCATACACTGCAATGTATCACTTGCTTATTTATTTAAATAAATTGTACAATGTATATATTAAATTGAATAAATAGATAAACATATACTTTTTTATTAATTTCAGGACAATTATAAGAGGAATTGCTTTTTCGCTCCAGAATTTTTCAAAAAATTCGGCCTGAAGCGTACGGATCCCGTTATTAATAATTTCTTTTATAATTTAGTTAAAAACGGAGTAGAATATCGCAAAACTAGCAATTATCGTCGCAAGGATTTTCTACAAAGACTTATTGATTTAATGGATACAGATAGCTCTCATCAATCAGGTCAGCTATTAATTTTCAAAACTATACAATGTTTCATCAAGTTAAAGCTACATTAATTACATTAATGTTTACACTGTGTACACATACTCTATTTTTGCGTATCGAAGTTTAAAAATATATATATATACTTTAATGTTTTCTAGATAATTCCCCGACTATGTAGTCGTCGGTGGTATGAAATAACTGACGGAAATGGTATTGGTAATGTTGAACATTATTTCCTTTAAATTCATCTCTGTTACTTTTATTCCCATGCAGAGACTGATCAAGGGTTCTGACCGCTCTAGGCTATTCATCAGGACACGCCCCTACAAACACAAAAGAAAAGCACTTCACGCGTTATACGACCAAAATCATGACAAGTGACTACAGGCTACCAAGAAGAATACCAAATCCTTATCATATTTGGCTGAATAGAAGTACTATTGAATTAGTTTAAAAAAAAAATTACTGACTGCAACAAACCCTTTAGGGTTCTGGCATAAATAGAATGCAGAATCGGTGTGAGATTTTAATAACTGCGCCAAATGGACGTATTCTTCTGCAAAGGTTTCTCCTAAATCGGCATATAGTTGTTTTTACTGCTTTGCTTTGCTTCTAATAAATTTACTTTCGTCTAGTTCATACAGTTTCCCTAAGAAACCAAAGGTTGCGCCCCCCTAGATCGTCGCGCCCTAGGCTGCAGCCTAATTAGCCTAAGGGTTAATCAGGCCCTGTTCCCATGGCTTGTTCAGTGTTATACCTGTCGTCCATACATTGGACAGTCGCTCAGAACATGTCACAATGTCTCTTCAGTTTTATTGCTACAAGGATAGGCAGCACTTTGTCTAACCCTGAACCTGAATACGACGTAAAAATAATTATTGTTTATTGTTAATTTTTAGGAGCTGCAGATTCTCACTCTTTCACACTTATTGACGTAGTAGCGAACACCATGCTCTATTTGTTTGCGGGCTACGAGACATCAGCTACGACGGGGCGTTACGCAGCCTACGAGCTGGCCAAAAACCCCGACGTGCAGAGGAAAACTAGAAAGGAAATATTAAGGGTATTAGCGAAATATAATGGGCAATGTACTTATGACGCTCAAAATGAAATGACTTATATGAATATGGTTCTAGAAGGTAAGATTCATCAACTCGTTCGTACACCTTAGAAAATGTATAACGTATAATTAATAGTGTTGTAGTTGAGAAAAATCACTATTTGACAGTCATAACCCACTAAAGCCAGACAAATTTGTATGAAAATGGTCACGTGACAAGCCGTGAGCTTATGTCATTCCCATACAAATTTGATAAGCGACATTCGAAGAGTAATTTTGTCTCAAGAGTCAAGACCCAGTTCTTTATTCTCAGCCTCTATTATTATCCACATTCCGTTATTTAGGCGTCCTGGTTTCCTCAGGATATTTTCCTAACCCGTATGAGCGGGTATTAAGGGGTCATTCAAGTATTACGTAAGCAGATTTATTGTAATTTATCCCCCCCTTCCTCTTTTACAGAAAGTAAGCAAAGCTCGCAAAAATAGTAGTACATAAACGTATAAATTTTTTGTAGGAATCCTCGAAAATTTGCTTTGTACACTTACTATACATTGTCTATATAATGTGTGGGTAATATGTGTAAAAAAGTAAATAATTACTGTTGACGTAATCACCAAATAAAAAATCAAAGACCCCCCCCCCTGCCCCTCTATATACGTAGTGCTTACATAGGGCTCCTAATTGCGCACATAGATGGTACAATATATACAATTGTACCTCGATATACGATTGCCCTAATATACGAGTATTGTGAGATACTGGCAGCCAAGCGAGCGATATTTTGCTTTGAGATGAGTACACTACCATACTACACTTAGGGCCAGTTTTTTGATCCGTAGTAAAAAATGGTTTTACCATTTGTTACATTAACTATAGTTAAATGAATAACCATTGGTAAAATCGTAAATGCGTTTTTCAATGCCTTTTTTAACTATAGTTAAAGTTAACAATTTGTCAATTTGTTGCCAGTGCAATGAGCAATGACATCCCAAAAAATGTGGTTCTTTTTTTGTGGGGATCATTTATTTTGTATGACAACACTAGACATATTGAGTGAATGAAATCCATTTTTGCCATCTTCATTCGTTATTTGCGCTTTGAAGAGTTTGAAGTGTCAAATTAATCTAAATAACACGATATAAATAAAGTTGTTTTTCTGTGATTTAATACGGTTTACACTTTTTTACGATACTTAAATATATAAATAACGATGTCCGCAAACAGCCAACGGTCAAATAAGTAAGTTCAAACATATTTTCGTGTTATTTATTCCGGTTTATCTTGTGTTTCGTAATAGAAAGTAATACATTTATGTTTTGTTAAAGGGACCATACTGCTAACTTCGCCAAAAAAAGAAACTGCCAAACTGGTGATGCTTCTCAAGGATTACACAGTCGTAACCTGCAAACAACTGATCACTGCAGCAATGTACAAAAAGATGCAGCTTGGAAATCTCTGTGACGTTTTCAACTCAGATGGGTCTAGACACCGAAGTGTTAAATTTAATATACATTTAATGAAGGTGTAGGCACATTTTTATATTTATTCTTGTATAGCCGTGTCCTACAACAAAAGGAAAAAATCTTTTAACCCTTTGGAAACAAGGAAGCGGATTATGATCCACACGGATAAAAAAAAGAGTTTAGAAACAAAGACAAATAAGAGAGGATGATTTGTTCAATTATGCTTAGGAAGAGCATCAAAAACATTTGCTGCACCAATGAGAGGCCCACCAAAAATTCATACTGCATAAAGAGGAGGTGCACCAAAAAGTGATGCAGCAGATGGAAGAAAGGCACAATAAATATATGTAGCAGCAAAAAGAGTTGCATCAAATTGAGGTGAAATGCAAGAAGAAACAATTAGAAAATATTTAATTGCTACTTTAGGGTTTCATGTAAATTTTGTAATGTTTTTTTAATAAAAATGGTTTGTATTTAAGTTATAATTAAACAGTTTATTAATCAAGTCAAATGTTTTATTTATAAATTCTTGTAATAAAGTAGATAGATGCTAACTCACAAATGTAATAAAAGCCCTAAAGAATATCATAGGTCCCTAACTAATGTGTAGCTGTAGTTTTTAGTATAAGTACATACTTGTATGTACTTATAATAATTATAAGTTAATATTATTAGTAATATATAAATAATATTAACTCTAATTCATTATGTATTCTATTGCCTATAATATTAACTTATAATAATTATAAGTTAATATTATAGGGAATAAAACACATAATGAATTAGTAATATACTTAATTATATACTGCTGCGGTTCTGTAGCTAGTAATGAAGCAAAATAGGTTTGTATGAGCTGCTGTCTATATATACTCTTGTTCTTGTATTTTATTTAATTATAATAATTATAAGTTAATATTATAGGCAATAAAACACATAATGAATTAGTAATATACTTAATTATATACTGCTGCGGTTCTGTAGTTAGTAATGAAGCAAAATAGGTTGGTATGAGCTGCTGTCTATATATACTCTTGTTCATTGGCAGTTTAAGATCATTCCCAATTTCAGTAACAATCCAGAGCACTGTTCCCTTCGATAGGGGGTAACAGTGACAAAAATCTACATCATCCCAGGTTTCTAATGGCGGATGACATTGCCTAAATATTTTTGGTCACTCATTAACACATTCTCATATAATATTATCGCCTTCTTCATCGTCTCATTAATTAAAGTATCTCAATATGTTTAAATTCATCATTAGATAGTAATAAACGTATTTATCATAGTTTGATTTCTGTGACAAACAGCTGTTAGTATATAAATTACCAGCGGCCATCTTTTTTAACCCTCCGATACTGAGTAGTTAACTTTTTTGACTAATGGTTAGATATTTTACCATTGGATGCTCTTACCACGGATCAAAAAACGCATTTTCCTGATATTTAACTAATAGTAACGATTTTTTACCAATAGTTGAGTTAACTACGGATCAAAAAAACCGGCCCTTAGAGTTTCTCCCACCTAAGAGTAAGGTCTGTTTTCTTATTTTTCTCGTTTTCGAACCAATTTTGAGTTCGCGTTTTTTGCTTTTTGTACAATTATAAAAAAAAATCATAATCATGGGTTCGAAGAAAATGATGTCTATTGAATTAAACATGAAATCATTTTCTTACTCAAAAACACTTAACAAAAACAATTGAGGTGGTGTTTTGGCTGGAATTTCAATTTAAAAATAGGGAAAAATGCTTTGGAATACGAGCTTGGTTTCGGAACAAACTAAAGTCGTATGTCGAGGTACTATATATATTTTATAAATTCAGGGTTTTATAACTTTATGTAAAGCGTTTTAGCGCTTGAAACATCAACTCAAAAGAAATAAAATCAAAGAGCCTGTTGTTGAAAGAAGCGCGACATTTGTTATCAATCTACTAAACTTTGATGTAACATATGTACTTGTAAAAATATAAAAAAAAGTATTAGTCTTCTTTTATTAGTGCCTCTCCATTCGTGGAGGTGAACCTTCAGTCTCTTGTCTCAGCGCGTCTTGTCCTCTGCCAGGTGCAGCAGCTCTTCCGCAATCGCAATACCGGTACACTCCTAATTCATGCAATAGAACCCTATCTATCGGAGATATAGACATTTTCCCCTTACAGAAACATTACGAAAATATCCACCATTGCGAGCCCTCTTCCGCCGATGTAATGAGGACTACAGAGTTCCCAATTCTGATGTAGTTATAGATAAGGGTACGTTACTATTTATACCGATACAAGCAATACAAATGGATCCAGAGATTTTCGAAGATCCAGAGAAATTTGATCCAGAGCGCTTCACTCCGGAGAAGAAGGCTACAATGCATCCATGCCAGTGGATGCCTTTTGGGGAGGGTCCGAAGAAATGTTTAGGTAAGCTAAATATACTATTATTATGTATGATAATTACCGAGTAAGGTTCGGTGGCGGTTGTTCAAATAAAACACTTTCTTCGAAGTCAACTGTCTTTAATGGTTCAAGACAAGATACCTGAGAGACAAGACCAATAAGGGTTGGAACGCTAAAATATCGTGTGTAAGTAAAGTAACACATAAGTAACAAATTTGATATTCTGCGAACGAGAATGCTATTTTATAATTTATATTTTATTTTGTTGATAAAAGCTTGCCAACGCTCGGCACACTGATAAATTACAAAGAACCATAAGAAACAATTTTTAATGTAACTAGCACTCATAGAGAAACCTGACATACACGAAGAGATTATACAAATATTAAATAAAACAATAACTAAACAAAACAATTAAAATTGCAAAAACTAAACGAAAATCGATTTTAAAGTGAATTAACTTTCTACGATTCTCCAATGACAACATCTTAATGTGCGCTAGCCTGGTTTCTTAGCCTGTTTTATAGTACTTCACATTTTATTATATGACATTGGTTGAATATTGATTTTATATATCTTATTTGGCTATTTTTCCGACAATTTTTTTTTGAAATTAATCATCATTAATCTATTCCAGGTGTACGACAAGGCTATATTCAATCTAAGATGGCATTGGTCCAACTTCTTTCGAAATATGAACTGTGTTTGAATGAAAGGACCGAGAACCCTTTGAAAGTAAACCCGTCAGCATTTTCTTACTCCCCATTAGGTGGAATTTGGATAAACTTGAAAAGAATAGACCAGACTTCATAAACTATAGCGTAATGGTGCAGTGAATTTTATAAGATCACTCGGCAAACGTTGTTTTGCTATGTATATTATTTCTAGGAAACATTTTTTAGTTCAATAAAAATAACTATCTACTATAATAAAAAATTGGGGTTGATCATAGAGGGGTGAAAATTAGGGGTTGCATAAAACTCGGTCATAACAATCGGTTGAGCCGTTTCGGAGGAGTTTTGGAGCGAACATTGTGACACGAGAATTTTATATATTAGACTAGCTGTACCCGCGAACTTTGTTTCGCCTTAATGATGTTTTACTTAGGCTACTTTTTTAACCGCTACATACCCAACATGGAACATTAACTTTACCTTAAAAACCTAACAACGAAATTTTGAAATTTTTGGTTTATGTTTTGCCAATTTCCCTCTGCATAAAAACCTTTCTTATAGTTCAAAGAAAAGTTTCAAAATTACCTCGAATTTGTCCAGCCGTCTTCGAGATTTGCGCTTGGCAACATATTTAGCAATTCATTTTTATTTATTTTTATATCTAATAAAATCTTGTACTACATTTTAATATTCAGCTAGTTCACGTTAAATTCATAATAAATTGTATTAAGCCAGTTATTTTTTTATTAATGATATTGCGAGTCTTAGGGTCTGTTTCACAATGTTCGGATAAGTTCTACATAAGTTCCAAATTAGCTATTTATGAAGTCCCAGATGAAAATTCCAAATAATTTATGTGTTGCATAGCTATTTGGTACTTTATCCATACATTGTGAAACAGACCCTTAGGGACACTAATTCATCGGACTTATACCTTATGATGGACTTTATGTGTCGAATAGCGCTATATGACAGTCGTAAAACGCAATAATAGTGTTTGTCCTACCAATAAGTAATAAATAGCTAATTTGGAACTTATGCATACATTGTGAAACAGACCCTTAATATAATTAAAATAAATAAATAATTACATATCTTATGGTTCTATTTACAAAATTCTACGAGTTATTTAGAAATTATTGCAACAAATAAACAAGGCATTGAGGTTTCCGAATTTTCCTACCCTTTTCACTGTAAACATCTTAATTCTCATGTCAAAACATGCGGCCTTCAAGGAGGCGTAAGACTAGGTTCATAGAGTTTTAAATTTAACGAATTAGGTTAAGCGGTTGTTAATCAGTATTCTTGTTCAGTTATCATTCGAATTAAATTATGCGTGTCCTTAAAATTTTGTACCTACTTAGCAACCAACTTTTTAGTATATTAATAAATGAAAAGAGCTTACTTAATTTGATATGTTATGGAATAAGGAATACTTATTCATTTGTTACATGGAAAATCCTCCTGAAATTCAGTTCTCACTACGTTAGCTACAGGAAAAGATTTATGTAATATTTATTTAAAAATTATGTCTTTAAATATATGTTTCAGGCACAGAGGGTTGATCTACTTGTCTATAGATACAAAGAAAATGACCTCAAATTTATGTATATTGTTAATGGTTCAAACACAAACACAAGCACATTAAAAGGAAAGATCTGAACTTAAAACGATGGCCTCATTCATATAACTTATCGTGGCCTATCCACAAGTCAAAAAATTATTGTACGTTAATCCCTGACTACCCTCATTTTCTTAGTATTTTTTTGTTTTACACCGAAACGGAAGACTGTTAAAGAACGTAATTCGCCCTGTTAATATTTAAGGGGATTGTAACTGGCAAAAGAAGCTGTAAGTTCGGACCTTATGAAACCTGGCATCAAATAAAAACATATATATCTTCCCTTATTTATTGCTTACACAATACAGAAAATCACAAAACCAAAAAGAGACTTAAACGCATGTATCGTCCGCCCTACGTCTTGTCGAGGGTAGAGGTTCCTTAAACCGTTGCATGGACCTCCAGCAGGCTTTTGCTGAAGCACTGTACGTGTCCATGTATTCGGACCTCCCTGGAAAGTCCGTGAACCAGCTTTGTACGGATATGGGAGCAACACCGGTATGAACGGGCCCCGGGGGGTTTATTGTTGGTCGTACAGTCGGGGGGTTGTCAGTGAAGTGAGTGGGGTCCTTGTAACAACGTAATACTCCGAGACGATTGCTCTCGATTGGTATGGGTGCGCTTGATTGAGATGCGGCTATGATTTTTTCATAGTCCGATACTGGGAAGGCTGGAATTAGAATTTATGATATCATTTTAATATCTATTATGAGTGTCTGATGTGAATGAATGTGAAATTAACAGACTTAGACTGTTTCACAATGTACGGATAAGTTCTACATAAGTTCCAAATTAGCTATTTATTACTTTATATTGGTAGGATAAACACTATTGTTGCGTTTCACGACTGTCAGATAGCGCTATTCGTCACATAAAGTCCATCATAAGTTATGATTCCGATGAATTGGCATATAGCACAATTTATATTGCAAATAACTTGTGTTGCATAGCTATTTGGTACTCTATCCAAACATTTTGAAACAGACCCTTAACCAGAATATGGGAGGGTAGGTACTCTCATTCCATGCGAGTTTATATGACATGCACAAAGTATTGAAATATTTAGAAATGTAGATAATAAGTTATAATATATAATTATTGCTTTATTGTAGATAATTTTGTGTAACAGGTTTAATGCTGAAGTAAAAATTTAAATATACAGGAACGAATATTACGCCTAAATTTAAGCCTCGTGCAATTAAATTGTAAGTAGTTGACGAACTTACATCTTTTCTTATAGGTAGCCTGATACATGGTGGTCATTTTAGTGTCAAGATCGTCACAGGGGTGATCCAATATGTCATTTGTGACATCTACCATCTATAAAACGAATAAAGTAGTTTTATTCAAAACCTAGTTAACAGGACAAAGTTAGTTTGACGTATGCCTTCAACTTTATATCAAAAACATCACGTGACTAAGCGTATTCTAATATTCCTATGCAATTTTATATGACAGAAGTGGTGGTAGCCTTAACACTAGGTAAATAATTAATATAAGAAGAGGAAATAATTAATGGGAAAAATAAAAGTGTATTTCTTGTACCTTTTTCAGTATAGCATAGAAAAAAAATAGACGCTACAACCTTGGTCCAGATCCTTAACTTTTTCGTAATTATTTATTCTTAACAGCTTGACACATTATATTGTCGATTTTTGTGTCTAAAGCATGCCGGTTTCCTTACCATGATCTCCTTCTTTCTTCGAGTGTTAAACGTGCACATAGAATGTCCATAGGTGCAGAGCCGTGATTTGAAATCAAGACTTTACGATTAAAAGTCGCATGCTCAAGCCACTAGGCCAACACTGGTCTATGTACAGATTAGGTTAGGATTATATTATTCTTATACATAATTTTAGTGAAACATTTCTTACCTGTTTCCTCAACTGTTCGTAATCTTGACATAGTTTCTGTTCCTTGTCGAGTAGTTGTTTATATTGTTCAACGCGTGGCGAGTATGAATGTGCATCGCAGTGGCAGTATGGAGCCACAGGTGCTGGTCTAGTTGTAGGTGCTGCTTCTGGTTTAGGTGGCTCACAGGGTCTGAAAGAGATATCAAGATAAAAAGTGAAGTGAAGAAAAGTGAAGGGAAGCCAATCAAGCTATAGAAAAGAAGAATTGGTGGGCTTCTAGAAGCGTACCTATCGGTAAAAAAAATCCGCTCCTTAAGACTACATAATGAAACTTGCACTATTATGAACTATGTACTTCTGAAATTATTACATATTCTTTATTCATATGCTTTACAACTATAAGCTACTACTACTTACTTTCCAACTATAGGCTTCGGAAATGGCCATTGATAATCAGCATTAACTGTTGTGTTGAAATCCATATTCTGGAAAAGAATGATGCATGTTTAATAAGCTTAAATGAAAGTCCTTCTCAAGGACTAACATACTTATTAATAAGTAATTTTTTACTTTGCTATGCTACCTTGTGATTTTAGTTTATCACGTTGATATTTTTTAAATTTATTATCACTACTTTTGCTATTTGACACCCTACATAATTTAGCACAGCTTTGGAAGCCAAAAACTTGATCTGTAAAAGAATTTCTTCAAAGAGGGAAGATAAAAACATTTTGATATTTTTTTTATATAAATCAAAATTGTGAATTCAGCCAGTCACTCGTGGAGAAAAATTCAAAATTTAAATTATTTAGATTGTAAATTGAATTAATTTAATGAACTGGCATAATATATATAAAAATTGACATATTTGAATAATTAAAATATAATTATATTTAATTATTCATAGTAATAATTATTATAACTTTTTGCTCGGCACATTTTTCTACGTACGTATAATATTGTTTTCCTTAATTGGAGTAAGAAGGTGGCAACACCTAGCACAGCATATTTAAATGGTGCCAATGGACTTTGTATCCGGCTAATAAATAAATTAAAAAAAAAAAAAAAAAGATATTTGAATGGGACTTCCTTTTTGGCGGGAAAAGGAGAGCCGCGTTTTTTCAAATAAAATTTTGTTTTATTTTAAATTAAATTGTCTTTTTCAAGACAGAGTGCTTTTGGAGGAGAATAATGTCTTCAGAGAGTGATGGTGATGAAGACGGGTCTACAAAGTTACCCGTAGACTCGAAAAAGAGGCGATTTGATAACTCAGTAAAATCGAACGATGTCGATAAGTATAAACCTTACTCTAAACCCGAGTATAAGCGATCCTACCCGGATAATAATAACATAGAAGAGTTTCCCGTTTACGTACAGGGAATTAAAATGGAAGATAAGATAGGTAATAAAAATCCTTTGCATTTATCAAAAATATTCAAAAACGTGAAGGGCATTAAGGAATGTCGTCGAGTTAATGCGGCCAAAATTATGCTGGTTTTCAAACAAGCTGCAGCTGCTAATGATTTTCTGAGTCACGTTAGCTTACGTGACAATAATATGAAAGCTTTTGTACCAGCCTCTTCGGTGGAGCGAGTGGGTAAAATTCGTTTTATCCCTAAAGAATGCAGTAACGCGGATTTATACCACAAACTAATGGCTGACTCTGAAATTGTTGGTGTTAGACGTTTTATGAAAAGAACTTGTGATGGTCTGGAACCTCTTACTACTATAAGCGTTACCTTTGTAGGAACTGTTCTCCCTCAGTATGTTTATTTAGACAACTGGCGTTACAAAGTTTTCACTTATATTCCTCCTCTCATGCAATGTTTTAAATGCATGAAATTTAGACACAGTGCCAAAGTATGTAGAAACAATCAGGTTTGTTCAAAGTGTTCAGGTGGTCATTCCTATAAGGAATGCTCAGCTGAATTTTTAAAGTGTGTTAACTGTGGAGGAGACCACTTGGCAGTATCTAGGTTTTGTCCTCAAAAAGCAGCTCAGATTAAAAAACATGAAAATAATTATTCATCTAAAATGTATTCAACTGTATTATTGTCAAGTGATTTTCCTCAGTTACCTAATGATAAATCAGTTGTAAAGTTGGCTCACAATAAATTAGCTCCACCTGCTGTCCAACCTAAGAAAAAAAAGTTATCACAAAATTCATCAGATAGTTCAATTTCAGTCCAGTCTGCTCCTCCTAATAGTGGTTCCTATGATCAGCTCATTAAAGATGATCAGTTCTTGAGTAAAATTATCAAAACTTTAGTTATGTTAGGCAATTCTAATACAGTAAACACAACTGCACACATTAAGGATATATTAATACAAAACTTAACAAAATAATGGATTATTTACGATTAATGCAACATAACATACAGAGTATCAATAATAAAAAACCACTTCTTAAATCTTTATTATATGATAATAAAATAGATGTGTGCTTGCTGAATGAAACTTGGTTAAAAGATTCTGGTCCGCCTTTTTATATACCTGGTTATATATTTGTTGGAAAAAATGCTAAAAATGAGCATGGAGGTGTAGGTATATTAATAAAAAATTATATTAAATTTAAGGTCTTAAAAACTACTTTCTATCAAAATATTCAATTTATAGCTATTTCTATAATAACAGGATGTGGTCCTGTCTCAGTGCTCTGTGTCTACTGTCCACCAAATAATAGCTCAATTAGTTTGATTAATTTGAGAAAGATTATTTTGCAATTACCCAAACCTTGTCTTGTATCTGGTGATTTTAATGCTCACAATATAGCTTTTGGTTGTGATACTACCAATTCAAGAGGTCGTGAATTATTTGATATATTTGATGATGCTGATTTATGTATTTTAAATTCTGGTGACCCTACTACTATTTCTAGACCTGGTAATAATGCATCAGCCATTGATGTTACTTGTGTTAGCCCTGATATTGCACCACTTTGTGAGTGGTATGTCGGTGATGACTCTTTAGGGAGCTATCATTTACCTACTTTTGTTAACATCATTACCTCAACTCAAAAATATACAGTTCAAGAGTCTATACATAAGTATTTATATAATAAAACAAACTGGAATATGTACAATGATAAATCCAAAGATATATTTGATAAATTTTCTCCTTCAACAATTGATCCTTTAGTTCAATATGATGAATTTTCTAAATTACTATTTAGTTTAAAAGAAAACTGTGTTCCATTGTTAAAGCATAAATCTTCTAGTAAAAAGTCTGCTCCTCCAGCTCCTTGGTGGAATGATACTTGTGCCGAGGCTGTAACCAAATCAAGAGAAGCGTTAGCTAATTATAGACGTAATATGACAATGGACAATTATATAGAATATAAGAAAATAGATTCGAGGAAAAAAATTATTATAAAAATGGCTAAGAAAGACAGTTGGAAAAGTCTTTGTTCGTCTTTTAATAGATTCACTCCAGTATCCCGAGTGTGGAATTTTATTAGAAGATTTAAGAGAATTAACATTAATAGAAATGTGTCCAAAAATGATGAGTGGATAGCAAGCTTTTTAGAGAAGTTAGGGCAACCTAGTAATAACAATGATAATATTTCTGGTTTATTCGAATTTAATGATGGAAGTCAGTGGAGCAAGTTTCTACTTAACTCTTTTTGTTTTGAAGAACTTGACATGGCTTTGTCTTCAAGAAAGAATACAACCCCTGGTCTTGACGATATTCCTTATATTATGCTTCAAAATCTACATGTTTCTGTAAAACATATTCTACTTAATATTTTAAATTCGCTTTGGTCTCATCAATTGATTCCAGAATCCTGGAGGTTGCAATGTGTCATACCAGTGTTAAAACCTGATAAACCCAATGATCATTTTAATTCGTACAGACCCATTTCTCTTACATCTTGTGTAGGGAAATTGTTTGAGCAAATGATTAAGATTAGACTGGACTATTTTGTTGAAAACCAGAAACTTATTCCTTCTTGTCAGTTTGGATTCAGAAAAGGCAAAAGTGCAGCAGAAAGTTTTATAGCTTACCTGACTGATATGAAGAAGTGTTTGTTATCAGGTTCTACTGCAATTTGTGTTTTCCTTGATGTTCAGGGGGGCATATGATAATGTAGATCTTCACCAATTAATTAGGGTGCTATATTCCTTGGGCATCCCAGGAAAGCTTTTAAAATGGATTTTCCATATGTATTATGGTCGTTCTTTATACATTAAATACAATAATGTTTTTCATGGTCCAAAATTAGCATTCAAGGGGTTGATGCAAGGGTCTTCTTTATCTCCAATCCTGTATAACCTTTATACTTCACAAATATATACATATGTGACTGAATCTGTAAAAATATTACAATTTGCTGATGACATCTTAATATATAGTGTAGGCAGTAATTTACAGGTTACTCAAGCAAAAGTTAATTCAGCTTTATGTCAACTTAACTACTATTATACTGAGATACTTAAATTAAATATAAATAGTAGTAAAAGTTCAGTTTTAGCTTATGGTATTGATACTAATGTAAATGTTAAGTATAACAATAATTTAATCCCTCAAAATAGCGAAAAAAAGTTTCTTGGTGTAATTTTTGACACTAAATTAAAGTTTACCAAACACATTGACTATATTTGTAGTAGAGCTTTGAAAGGTATCAATATTTTGCGGTCCTTAGCAGGAACTTTTTGGGGTTCTGATCCAAAAATTCTTTGTTTATTATATAAAAGCTTAGTACGTAGTCATTTTGATTATAGCTGTCTGGCATATATGAATATTAGTCCTGTATTATTAAAAAAAGCTTGATGTTATCCAAAATATTGCTCTTAGAATTGTTACTGGTGCAATGCGTACCACTCCTATCAATTCTATGGAGGTTGAGTCATGTGTAGAACCACTATGTATTCGGCGAGTATTAATTGCTGAAAAATTTTGCCTGAAAGTAATAACTTCTCAGAATGATGTTCTTCTTCCAAAACTTTCTTATTCTATAACTATCACTAATACACCAGATTTGCCTTCAAGTATAACAGCGACTAATGTTCTCAATAACCAGATCCCTGAATTATTGGGAATTATGAGCTTTATGACTGATTTATCTGATAATATGTACAAATCTGAACTATGGCCTGTATATCTCTGTAAATATAAAGCTCTTATGTGTAAATTAAATATAGATATGTCCAGTGTAGTAGATAATATAGACTTTCTGGATTATTGCTGTACCAAGCCTAACAGTTACAAAGTCTACACTGATGGCTCTAAATCTTCATCTGCAGTGAAATCGGGTTACTATGATCCTCAGGCTAAAACCTCAAAATGTTTTATGTTAAGTAATACTTGCAGCATATTTACAGCTGAAGCTTATGCTATCTATCAAGTTGTATTGTACTTACACAGTTTACAAAATAACTATAACTACATGGAGTTCCTAATAATTTCAGATTCAAAAAGTGTGTTAATGGCTTTAGACAAATGTCATACTCATTATAGAAATAATTATTTATTGTATAAAATTAGAGAAGCATTGATATCTTTGGATACTCCAGTAACATTTAAATGGGTGCCCTCTCATAGGGGTATCAAGGGAAATGATATTGTAGATGGTATCGTCAATTCTAATTATGATGAGGATCATAGTATTACATGCAGAGTTCCTTTTACGGATTTTCTTTTCGACTTAAAACAAAGAAGTCGCAAGTTATGGGAAAGCTATTGGAAATTATCCTCACAGCATAAAGGTAGTTGGTATGCAGAGATCCAAAAGGAACTCCCATGTAAACCTTGGTATGATAAATACAAAGGAGCCAATGAACGTAAATTTATAACCATTATTAATCGTTTGAGGTTTGGCCACTGTCAGACTCCAAGCCATTTATTTCGTTTTAAAATTATAAATAATAACAGATGTACATACTGTGGAGGAAAGGAGGCCGACTTATCCCACCTCATCTTAAGTTGCCCGACCTTTAAATTTCAACGATTAATACTAGTAACGGATATTATGAAGTTGATGGATTTTGATGAGAATAATCGGACTAAACTTGGAAATTCTTTAGCAAATAACCCGACAAGATCAGCTTTAGACTCATCAGCAGTCACTGCAAATGGTAGTCATCAATGTCAACCATCACAAATAGAAATTCCCCGCCGTGTCCAAGATTTACTGAAATGTCCAGTTCTATTCAAAGCTATTCACTATTATATAAAAAAACACGGTTGAGAAAATTTAAAACTCACCATTGTTTTATATTGATTGTATTTTATGTTAAGTTAGTATAGTAAATAGTTATTTGTGTAAGATTTTTTGTTATACTTTTTTTTTAAAGTGCCAATGGACTTTGTATCCGGCTAATAAATAAATTAAAAAAAAAAAAAAACATATTTAAATGTCAATCGTCACAAGTGCCAACACCAAATTTCATACGTTGTTTCACAGCCGCCACTGTCAAGTTGCCTAAATCAAATCAAATCAGCTGTGTATTGCACACAAGAAACATGTAAATAAATTAATGTGCGTATAAAAATTCTGATGTGAAAATGTCCACAAAGATAATTGATAAAAAATCGACTCAATGTTTATGATAAATTTCTTGTGGAGTGATAATGGCGCGCCGAAGAAGCAGCGGAATCACAAGCCTGGCTTTTAACCAGAATCAAGGTGTGTTGACTTCCTAGTTAGTCACCCTTAGTTCTTTGTTCTCAAACATAAAGCGTGATATTATTCATGATGTGGATGACCGACGTGTGCATATGTAGGTCGGCAATACGAGGGGTAATCGTAACGCTTTTACATTATAATTTCTACGTAAATCTAAGGCCATTGTCGCACTGGTTCCACGTGTTGTTTATATTTTTAGTTTGCGCGCCTACGTAGTTTAGCACGTTTTACGTACCACTGCGTAGCCTTTATGAAATCCTGAAGTTTGGTAAATATTTACTTTTATTTATGAAATATGAATTTAATTTTTCAAGCATATTTTGTACGTTACAGAAATTAAAGTATACAAATGTAAAATACATATTATGGTAAAACTCATGGTATCACATAATTATCGAATTGTGTAAAAAATAAGGTTATTATAATTAAACATATTGATATACATTATAATATAAATAATATATTATTGCAATATAAATTATATATTTTAACTTAAAATTCATGAAAAAGTTAAATAATATTTCATACTTATATTATAAGAAGATATGTAACCATTGTTCTATTGTTATAATTATGTATATTATAATACAAAGATTAATTGTGGTTTTGTATAATGAATACTATAATATTTTCAGGCTGCTTCACTTGTTGTCTTACATCTGGCTTGCGTGTCTACAATGTGGACCCACTTGTTGAGAAGGCACATTACAGTAAGTGTTTTTTGACATTCAAACTATGTATATAAGGGAAAAAACAGTTTAATTTATTGATTACAGAATACAATTTAATATTTGCAATTTTTTATCAATATAATAGACAAGTGCCCGAGTTCTAATGTTTTTGGACTGAAACTAATGTATTCATTAAAAACTGCATTCTTTGCTTATGTGATTATACACAATAATAGTTATACTTTAGGAAACTTGTAGTTCTCTAAACTCATTAAAGACCTATTAATAACTAACTGAAGTCAATAATAATTACTCTCTTTAAATGCAGAATCAATTTTCACATATCTATCCAAAATTATAATAACTGCATAAACTAAATTGATTTGTGTTTATAGCCTTTAGTAGAATAGTTTCTACTTCAATTTGAATGCTTTTTGAAATATTTTAAATTCAACAGTATGTTATCAAAACAATGTAAATTTTCACAAAAGCTACTACTTCAGTTTAATACATGTGTCTTTACTTTTATCATGGAACATTAGGATCTAGCCTAACTTAAGACTAATAAGTAATTTAACTCTAACCTCATTTACTAATAAGGATATTTAACATTAGAAAGTGTCCAATTACGCTACTTACAGTCTCTATTAAAGGGGTGACAGTCTGTTCTTGTGTACTAAATTAATACAAGAATCAGGATATTAGGTAGATATATAGCAAACTTGGCGCCTTGTCTATCTATATACTATTACTTCTTCACAGTTTGTATTTGTCCACTAATAAAATTTCAGCTAATATGCATGATGAATTTGCATATACCGTTAATATCTTATATCTGTCAATAAAGTATATAAATTCCAGGCAAAGAGGAGTTGGGGGAAGTATCACTATGTGAAATGGTGTTTCGTACCAATTGGCTACTTTTGGTGCGAGCCCGAAGGCCCTGCAGCCTCATGCTTCTTGATGACCAGCAGCGTGCCTTTAAAGCCGAAGTCCTCTTCAAGTCGCCTATACGAGCATTACGGGCCAGGAAAGATAAGTAAGTTCATTAAAATCATGTTGTATTCCAAATCATATTTATACATGAAAAAGCGGCTCAGACATTCCCAATGGAAAGCACTTGTGTAGAGGATGCCAATTTTATGCTTAAGATACAATGGGAGTATCATGATTATTATGAAAGTCTAATGTATAAGTAAGCATCAAATTTACATTAGATTAGCCTCACAACATAGGTATGTATGTTAGAGTTGTGTACCTTTTCCATTCAGCTATCACCCTTTTTACATTTGAAGAAATTAATTAAAATCGAGTACCTCTTTGTAGTTTCATATAAACAGCAACCTTTAAACTCAATAATAAAATCCTAACCTACCTAGTCTTATCATTTTATTTGTCTGTCATTATTTTTATGAAAAACTATTAAAGAGTACTATTAAATATATACTTTCCCAACACAGGAACTGTTGTGACTTCCTGTTACCTTATTATAAAAATAATAAGGTAACAGGAAGTCACAGACCAACTCAATAGAGCTTAGGGCAGACACATTTCTGCTCATTGATGAACCCGGAATACTTATTGAATCTTTATATATATATTTTTTTTTAATTAATTTTGATAGCTTTTTGTAAAGTTCGTAATAGGCAATAAAAGTAACACAATCTCTATATTCTTACTCAGCTAAGACTTTCATTAAAACTCCAGATTTATCAAAGTAAATACGATTAGATAATGAACAACCTTCACCAACTAACCCAGATATAAATACATCCTATTTCTGTGTATAATATATTAATAATTTAAACTATTGAAGTTTTATTACATTATTTTTTATACGTTGATCTGTCGGAATACGTAGTCTAGTAGTTGATGTACATGGTACAAATTCTAAATAAATAAATCAAGATTGTAATGTGTTTATTTTGAAAAAATATAAATTACGAAATCAACAAACAATATATATATAGGTATATATTGTAATAAATGTTGTCTTCCAGGCAACCTAAGAGGAAGAAAAGTTATATAAAATACTGTGTAAAGTGATTATATGTTATAGAAAAGAACAATCGTCTAACTCTAAATCATCATAATCGCCGAAACACTTGATTAATATTCCGTCCACGAATTTGTGCAAAGTTAAGGACAAATCAAGGTTGTTTAACTTCCTACTGTTTCAAATATTTATTACATCGTGTTTTACGAATTTTTCTTCGAGATTTAATTTTTTCTCATAATACACAACAATATGTATTTATATTCCTAATTATGATTGGCTGAAAAAGATCGCTTGCTCGGCCGTTATATTATTTTAATATCTCGAAATAGAATAAGATTTAGTCGCTAAGTTGACTGATATTTCAAAATGACCTAGGTACTGACCTATGTAACCTCATGAACTTTGAAGTTTCAAGTTAACAATACAGTGCATAGAAACTAGCTGATATCGTCTACACAGCACTACTACTATCCGTATAACATTGGCACCAGTGTATATTTTAATAAAAAGGCAATGATAATATTCCAGAGTGGCGGTAGTATTAACATCTTCGATCCAAGTTCTATCACTGCCATCGTTACAGCGTGTCGCCTTGCTACGTACGCCGGCGTCCTCCCGTCCGCTGTGTTCTCTTGCGACGGATCCCAACGCGGTACAATTACTGGCTGCGCCTGCGCACCGGAAGGGTTCGTTGCAATTGTTGGTGAGTTCGTACATTCATTTAAATGCATTTAAGGCGAACGTTATCAAAATTAAAATTGTCTACTGAATAAGATCTTTTCGAAGCTAAAGTGCAAAGTGTTAGTGCTTAGACAAATTAATCGAATTTGTATGAAACATTATTTTTTATAAATTTACAATCAAATATTAATGTTTTTTATGTTATTTAATACTTTGTTTTGAAGGCCTAAGGGCTGAAGTGTAGTCTAAACCTCGACCTTTGATCACCACCATCATACAGAGTGTTCAGAGGAGTTGTTCGGACTAATACCAACAGCTGCGTTTCATTATCGGACGTCAAGGTAGAATACAAAATAACACCCGTATCACCTCGACGTCCGTCGTTCCACAACTGAGCGTTTCTTAAGGCAGTTTTAGCGCACCACCACTATGTGGAACCAGCTGCCCACTAACGTATTTCCTAACCAATGAGCCTTCTGGCAATCTGAGTGTCCATGGGCTATGGCATATCACTTAGACTTAAGTTTCGTTACTGAATGTTAGGGATCGTTCAAGTATTACGTCACGCAATTTTTGGAGATTATTGACCCCCCTTCCCACTCCCATGTAACGCGCCGTAACGTTTTTTCGTACCCAAGTATAGTACTGTAAAACGTTTCGTGGTCAGCTACTGACTCTTTACACCTAAAAGTTACCAATATGTGGTGTAAAGTACTAGAAAGTTGAAAAAATATTAACAATAACGCGTAATTCAATCCCCGCCCCGCATCGTAACGTTTTACAAAAATACCCCCCCCTCCCAAAATTCGTTACGTAATACTTGAACGCTCCCTTACCATTTTCTTCTGAAATTTTAGTCGACAGTTCTGACGACTAAATTTGTTTTACCAGGACATTTCTCGAGCGGTGAAAGGCGCTCAGTCCAGTTCGCCGGCGGTGGTGGGTTGTCATCAAACTGACCTGGTTTGCCTTAGTCTGTCCGCAAATGGTGCGAAACTGGCGACTGCCTCTGAGCGAGGCACAATCATACGCCTGTGGGATACCGGTACTAAGCAGATGATACACGAACTAAGGCGAGGGTCGGATTACGCTGATGTGTACTGGTAATTATTGCATGGACTTTCACGTGACATTTAGTAATGAAACAGTTATTTTTTTATATAGAACAGGGGGCAAACGGGCAGGAGGCTCACCTGATGTAAGTGATACCGCCGCCTATAAACACTCTTAATGCTGGAGGGCTCGCGAGTGCGTTGCCGGCCTTTTATTAATATAGATAGGCAAAGCAGGCGTTTTAATTCATAATTTCATCCGTATCAACTTGATGGCTAGAAATCTTCCATGGTCTGCTTCAGAAGACATTTTCTTTTGCGAACTAGTGAACTATGGAATCGACTACCGCCATTTGTTTAAAGAAAAAGTATAGCGAGATTAAAGAGATAGGGAGGAGCCCTCAAAGGCCGGCAACGCACCTACTAAAATAGGTGTCATATAAATGTTTTATTTATATTAACTTATGTTAAATTTTGATCTAACAATTTATGTGTACGAAATGACAATTTAAAAATTTTAACACATTTCTGGTGGTGCTTTTGCTAGTATTTATTTATGAAGATTGTTTGTGGATGTTGTAATAATATTTAGTGAATACAATTTGAATAAATTAATTTGAAGTACAAAAATTGGTTGAAAGAACACCGTGTGAAACACACAGTCACCGTGACCACGCACGCTGTAAAGCACGCGAAACGTCGGATAAATTTAAAATTATGTCAAATAGTTGTAAATTTATAATAATAAACATAACTTTAATCCGGTAAAAAGCGTTTTTCTTTAAATGTGTAAAGGTTATGTTAATCAAAGACAATAAAAATTGGTTGCTTTCCAAAATACATATTCATACATAAAGATCATTCTCAGTATACAATTCAGTAGGTACCTATGCCCGACCCGTTTAACAACTATGCGAACTTTAATTTCAACCTTTTTATTTAAATTTCGCTTAATCGTATGAGCTTTGTAAGCCTAGTGGCTTCAGCGTTCGACACTCATTATTGAAGTAGTAAATTCGAACCCGGGCTGTGTGTAAGGCTGCTGCCTCGAATTTTGCGGGCAGCGGGGCGGCGCGGCGGCGGCTGCGGCGCGGGAGCGAGACGGCCAACGCATACCTGTTCTCCAAACCAGCGGGCAGATCGCGCGGCACTATAGCGGTGTAGTGTTGTGTTCGTGGTTGTGTTGTCGAGATATTTGTTTTTATTCGCGAATGAAATGTCTTGACGTCTTATCAAGCACAATATATACTTACGTGAAAAATTCAAAGAATATTTTGTAAATAATCACATTAGTTACTAATTAATTTGTAAAACATAATAAATATATATAAATAGTACTTGTCATAATAAATCATTTTTATATTTTCCTTCAATATTCAGTTCGTTTTTTGTTTCTACCCATAATTGGTTAATTATTCTTCTATTTTTATGGTTAACATCTTTGCTGTTCCATATGGGTCTCCTCTCCAAGATTGCCGAAATCATTTCCTCTTGCTCGTCCGAGGACATTTTGATACGTCACAAAAAATATGTACAGCACTATACTACAATGCAGACGCGCAACGCGGGCGGTCACCGCTTGACTGGATTGCACCGCTCGTTACCCGCCCTCGCGCCGCTGCCACGCCGCTGTTTTCGAGAACTGGTCCATTTGATTTTACGCATAAGATCCTACCGCTCCCGCGCCGCCGCCGCCGCCGCCCCGCTGCCCGCAAAATTCGAGGCAGCAGCCTTAGGCACAGAAGTCTGATCAACTTACCTATAAAAAAAAACAAATGAAGACGCACCTAATTGATTGTAGCGCCACTGTTTGCTATTTTTAAGCGTATATCATTTGGCCCTACAATTTAATATCACATTTGAAATCCATCAGCTCCATAGTGAGGTTAAAAAATCGAAGGGAATGAATCTTGGTAATTTATTAGTGAATTTAAATCGTAAAATTACCTTATATACAATAAAAATGTGTTCAGAATTGATAAATGTTTGGCAATTGTTCTATCTTCTATCTATTTTGATATATTATAATATATTTATATGAACGCCGTTACAAGATAACTTTATTCAATTTTGGAAGTGTCAAATGTGATCTATTAAATTGGCCCTACTATAAGTTATCTTACAATAAAGTTTAATAATAATTCTAGTATAAACTTCAACTGGTCGGGGTCGCTCGTGTGCTGCGTGTCGGATAAGGGCACGCTGCACGTGTGGGCTGCGCGCGGGAATTACGCGCACGTGTGCGCACCGGCCGCGTCCTCTACGCGGGCTCTGTGCGCATTTACGGACGATTCCAGCGCTGTTGGTATGTATGCGGAAATAATAAAAAATATATACCCATGATAAACACGTAATCCTAATCCTAAATACTTAACTTAAATCTTTGTACTATCTATTATAATATTTTTTTAAAAACTTCCACTAAATATGTATGTGTATTGTGTATGTGTGAATTAAACGTACTTAGTGCAGTGCTTGTTACCATGGCTACGATTTTAATGGTAATAAACAAGATACAATCTATAGTCCACATTTTTTAGACCGCTGGTAGTAATTCTCCCAAATTCGTATACTGGATTAAATATTTTTTTTACAGTTATAAGTGAGGATGGTACATTTCACAAATTCACATTCTCTGCAGAAGGAAGTTGCCATAGAAATGATTTTGAATATTTCCTACAGGTAAGACAATAAAATTACTTGTAAGGCATCAATCAACCAAAAAGCTGGCAAAAAATATTTAAAATTTTAATTGAAAGAAATTATGAAACCGGAGTTAACTTTTCAAAAATTGAAGTTGGTTTGAAAAATTTTCTACTGAATAAATGGTATCTTTAAACCTCATCTATGGGATTTGTAGAGCTTTTCATTAAGTGGTAGTGCTTAGACAAAGTAAGCTCTGGCTGAAAAAATTGTATGACACAAAGTTTTTGTATAAATTTACAACACATATGAATGATTTATATATTGTTCAACACTGTTTTAAAGTTGGTCCAAGTGTACTCTTAATGTGCACCAATTTTTTATAAACTCACTTATGGTCAAAGAAAACTTCCTTAGACCTAAAAATCAATAGTGTCCGACAGTGTCTAGAAATTATCACAAAACAGAAATCTGAAGATCAAAGAGGGTCAAAGCCTAAGTAAGGTTGTACCGCAACGGGTATTTTTTTTAAATTACAGCTGTTGTAACATTCCTTCTAGTATAAATTATTTTTAAAATATGAAAATCTTGTTTGCAGGTAGGTGATGACGACGAATTTCTGCATTGATATTTTATTTAATATTCATGGACCTAATTATCAATAAGCGTTGTACAAATCTGAAAAGCTAAAATCAATTTAATTTTTAAAAGTGATACATATTTTAAACACAGTACAAAATTATAGTGATCATGCATATTTTAATGGGATATTGCAAAAAATTATTATATAAGAATTGGAGCATTCATATATAATTTTGCTTAATAAGGCAACTTGTATATCAGCTAACAGATTAAAAATCATTTTGACAAAACAATTTTCCGTATTTTAATCTGTTCAAATTTTTAATCTTTGACTTGTGCTTGTGAATTAATATTTTATCTGTTGAAGTTTTAATAAGACCAATTTAATTATATCCACTGTATTTTAAATTATATCTGGAATTATTTTTTATTATTATTATATACACGAATGACTCAAGATATCTTTTGAGATAATATCTTGCTAACTCGCTTGCAACAACACAGCAACACAGTGAAATATTGAGTGACCTGTTAAGTAGGAAATAAATATAAGACTACAAGAATAATTTTCAATTATTCATTAATGATTTACATTCAACATCCATGTTAAGAAATAATTGGAAAGTAATTAACATTTACTACCAGTTACCAAATCAAGAGCATAGAGCGGGCAAGAAACTTGACCAGAAATTGTTTGGTTTACACATAAATTGTAAGGAACTGCAACCATTACACCATGCATGCCTGTGAGTCATAAGATAATAGAGGCACTGTGTTCCATGGTGTTTAGTGTGCTTTATTCAAATCCGTGATATTATACACTATTGCATTTGTTTGTACCTAATGTTGTGGATCACCTATATATTATTTAAATATTTTGCTTACACTAAGGCAACTTGTATATCATTTACATTTTTTTTAAATTTATATTTAATGTATCGCGCAATGTACATAATAGTTTAAATGTTTGTGATACGTCATTTAGCTTTTCTATATATAATTTAGTATTTTAATAATGACTTTAATCACTTACTATTATAATACTGAAACCATTTATTTTTAAACTTATTACGGGATAATTAATAGCTCAATGAAAAATATTTACCTATTTTGTTATTAGTCATAAATTCTTGTTTAAAGCAACGAATTCTAAAATAATGTTTGTCTGGGTAAAATGTGATGTCACAGGAAGTGATTACTTATATTAAGTTTATGTTAAATTTATAGTAGGATTGAACTGATTTATATCATTAAAATCATACAACCCCCATAAAAGTTGTATGTGTGTATATAAGTGCATGTTATAAGTTAATATAGATATTATGTGATGGCTTGTTAAAGTTATGTATTTTAAGATAGATCACAATACATTGCTGACAAGTAGTCATATATATCGGAATATCATTTAAGGGTTAAAATTTGGCTACAAAGAGCACATTTGTGTAAATATTATATTAGGTTATTTTTTTATAAAAATTGTGACAATGACAGTCTCCACAGTTTTATAGAAATGCTAGGTGTTGAGGAGTGTTCTCAATAGGGTATTTGCAATTTTCACAATAAAAGATTTCTTTTATAATAACAAACTTTTATTATTGCCTACTTCTAATAATTAAATATAACTTTTTATGTAAAGTAACAAGTCTTATTATTTTTACAAAAAAGATATTATAAGTATTTCTATATGTTCTAACTAAATAACATAATATTTACAAGTATATATACAAAGTGTTACTCATTTTGTGGTTTCTGGTTTCTTTCGATCAAATGGATCTGTCCAAACTTTCATATCTGAAAATATGTATCATCATTACTCTCACAATTATTTATAATCTTTTATTAACTTGAACATATGAAAATATACAATATTGTTTTATTCAAATTAAATTAGTGGGCTTTCACGGTTACATGCATATGACAAAAAAAAAGTTATTTTTATGTAATAATTTGGTAAAAAAATTTATAGTATCATAAGAGTTGGTATGTTCGTAATGAAAAATCTCAACAACCACTATGAACATTTAAAATTTTTTAGTAGGTATATTTAAATAACTTACTGCCTGGCTGTATATCCTCCTGCCTTATATTCTTGCGCGTCTCCTTTTGGATTTCTTCTATAAATGAAGTGAGCGAGTTTTAAGCATACAACATTCAGCGAGCTTCATAAGTAGGTAACAATAATTTACAAACGATAAAAATAAAAATAGCCTTTTTTCGAGTACACTATAACTACAGTAAGTCCATGTCTTTTAAGTTTTACACTAGTACTCGACCTCCGATGAAGTGAAGGCCTCCTCCTAACGAACGACATTACGTCATATATGTAACAAATGTTCTTTTCATATTGATGAAAGTAATTTGGTGTTGGACATATAAAAAACTTACTGTATTTGGAAGAGTCCATCATAGGGCTCACAGCTATAGGGTACAATGTAAGTCCAATGAATCCAATAAAGCCACCTAAAAATGCTGCGTAACGCCAACCTTTATTAAACGCCATCTCATTTTATTTCCTCAGTTTAGTGAATAAGGTTTTGAGTAAATATAACAAAGTTCTAATATTTGCACTTCAACGTTATATTTTCTAACCTAAACATACATTTTCATAACATACCATAGCACATATCACATAATTACTGGAAACTACTGTCATCTGTCAAAGTCAGCTGTTCCTGGCGGGCGGCAGTGGCACACCATATTTGAATCGAATGCATGTAAACATAAGTATTGTACGAGTATAATTAAACATATTTCTTTTAAAGTATAAGTATTGATTATCATAAAATTACTGTGGATTATAACTAGGTACCTACTCACTGCAGTTATCATCTTACGACTTACATACCACAGATCTAGCAGAACTAAAATGTATGCAAATGTCTCTGTAAAAAAAGCGATACCGTTGAACAATGCTTCCTAAGCATATCAGCTGTTGATGATGATATTAATAATTTATCCCTAATGGGAAAGGCAAAGGACTTTAGTCCATACAGCCACGTCTTTTCTACCTTAACATATCAGCTTAACCAAAATATGAGCGTAAAAGAAAAATAACCAGAGGGCCAGCTTTTTTACAATATGTTAACCCAGGCCCTGTGTTCTAAAATTTAAAAAAAGCCAACATCATTTTATTAGTTATTATTTTCTTATTTCAAGTTTAAAGTTCAATGGATTAAAAAGTATGAGTCATAGATGTGTTTATACAACTTATCAGTATTTGAATAAACAACAATGATTCATAATTTTTTTGTTTACAATTGTTCTGCTTTTTAACAACAAACTATATGTTGTTTCATTATTCGTATATTATGTAAATATCAATTATGGCTTTGTTTCTAATATTATAAATTTCAGCAACTAAAGAAGGCGGTTCTTTACGCGAGTATCACAAATTAGAAATTGAATACTTAACTGGATTTAAAGGCGGTATAATTCGTAATTTTACGACTATGCAACGTTAAATTGTATGAATTAATCCATAATATAAATAGTGAATTAAAAGAAAAACTTTGGTTTTTAGTTATTGTTATTTATCTAATAATTGTTGCATTACATACGGAGAAGAATTACTTACACCATCTTCTAATAATTCAAGAAGTTTGTTATAAACTAGTTTCCTAGCATCTATCGCCCACAGAAAATCGATATGATTAAATTCCTCTAAAGGCACTATGTAATGCTCTATCGGGTTAACGAGTTGTACGTACAAATTAGTAACATCAACGTCACTAGCGAGCCAATCGTTTTGGGAGCTAATTAGGGCGATAGGGAGAGTTATTTTATGTATTGGATATTCCGGAGGCGACGGACTTCCATACTGCTTTAAGTTTCCATCAGGACCATAATCAAATTGCTGGAATCGTCCCGCCGTTCGAATCTCTTGCGCATAATGTACTAAGGTTTTCGTTGACGCGCCAGCAGGGTCATGACTCAATATGAGAGGTAGAAGGCTTTTGTTGAACTGCCCTTCATCATGCCCACATATGACAAACATAGAGTTCTCACATATCGCCTCTTCCAGCTTGCTTATTTCGCATGCGTGTTTTGATAGCCATCGTAGAACCGCATTGGGTGGTAAAAATTCATTTGCACCAAGTAGTTTGAAGAGATATTCAATATTATCACTATATTTGGCCAATAGATGAATGGGGCTTTTAATATCCGTCATATAGGCGACGGGGGCCAAGGCAAATCCAGCCCTAAGCACCTTGTTATAATGAGTTTTAGTTGACAGCAATGCAAATAGCACAGTTGTACCCATAGAGTGACCGATATAGTTTATTTTAGTGTCCCATCCTTTCAGATCCATGATGTAATCGATAACCGCCGGTAAATCGTGTTGACTGACTTCGTGAAATGTGAAATTCCAGAATTCGAATGTATCTGTATTGAGACTAATGTGAGCTTTCGAATAAGTGTTTCCGCGAACATTTGCTAGCCACACATCGTAGCCTGCTTCAGAGAGAATGTACGGGAGGGCTTTATCTGGTCCAGGAATTATCCAGTCAGCGGAACTCCCCAGCAAGCCATGATGTAGAAGCACCGTTTTCCTTGGGCTCGTCTTGGTCGAATTTTTGGAATACGGTATTCGATGGATGGTTAATATGTATCCATCGGATGTAACAACCGTATGAGATTCGGAAGAGTAGCCATGTTGAGCGATTAATTGCGGCGTTGTCATATGAATGCCTGGGTCGTTATCGTTACAATTATACTCTATTCTCTCAGGCGCGATAACGTCAAATACCTTTTTATCATTCGCCCTTGCGTCTTCCAGGTAACCATGGAACTTTCTTCGCATCCGCGTTGGCTTATCGGTAACATCTTCGGTTTGGTTAATGTTCAGATAAGACGTGATCCGTTTTCTAACATTTTCGACATAAAACTGTTTTAAACTTCGTCCCTTTTCGCGAACATAATTTGTGATTTGAGAGGTTTTATTTGTGAATTTATCGACTAGATTCTGCGGAAACCAGTCAACGTATCGGCTGTCAGTGTATTTTAATAGAATACACAACGTAAATAATACAGCATAGAGTTTCATTGCGGAGATGCGCACGCACATACGGTTATAAACAGACTGGACTCTGGAGTTAATCGTAGAATAGATTCCAGAGGTCAAGGGAAGTGATTCATGTTTGTTATTTTGTTTAAATGGGATACATTTCAATTTATTAGTAATATATTATTATTTAGATTTATTGCATATGTAGCACATTTATAAATTAAATGAGTCATAATAGCGTAATACGATCTATTACAAAGTTTGGACTACACTGTACCGTCTTTGTTACCATAGGTAATGATACCAAGGTATATTTCCTAGATTTATTAGGGCCTAGAGCCGGTCCACGTGGGAATTATGGCGAGATCTAACCAGAGACAAAAAAAATACATTTCTGTACAAACAGCGCAATCTTGATCTATACAGCAGACATAGACAATTATAATTGTTATACGAAAAAAAGAAAACACAATTAATGTTCAAAGTTTTTAATCGATGTCTTGCAATCGATGTTAATAAACAAATCAAATAAATACATTTTTAATATTTTTAAAACATCACAATCATAGAAACAATTTCTCAACATCTTTACATAATTGGTCAAAATGATCTAATTTCCATTTTGCTAGTTCTCTGTCTAAATCCTGAACTTCGAGATTTTCAAAATCTTCATCAGCTGAAACAAAGACATAAATCTCACTTAAGTAAGTTTTATAAGCTTTTCGATACAACAGCCTTGATAGACTAAACATATTCTACTACTAATTAACATTTCGAGCAATGTTGGCCTAGTGGCTTCAGCGTGCTTCTGTTATGCCTTAGTTGTAGGTTCGATCCCCGGCTGTGCACCGATGGACTTCCTTTCTATGTGCGTATTTAACATTCGCTCGAACGGTGAAAAGTCGACGGCGTGTGTCAGGTACAGGAGGCTGATCCCTTACTTGCCTATTAGATTGATTAATCATGATGTAACAAATACAGAAATCCGAGGCCTAGACCTAAAAAGGACTAGGACAGGACGGATTATCTATATGAAAGAAGGAAGAAAACAGCAGGTGGTACATGGCAGAGAGTGGCACAGTGCAGACAGAAATTGCGAGATTTGGAGGAGGCCTTTGCCAAAAAAGGGCACACAGATATCTAGAAAGAATGAAAGGCTTATTTTTACATACACATGACGTATGGTTCTAGGTTCGTTTCCTGGTACAATAAAAACGGGGTACAGAAATTTGATCACTTAAAAATACCCTAGTCAAGTTTTTGTATATTTCCTTGGTTATGTTTCTTTATAGGTCACCCGATCAACGTATTTACAATTTTACGTTAACATATACACCAATATATATTTTATATGTAACTCGCCATTGCATTCTGCTGCACCATAAAGTGTTTTACAATTTTCAAAATAATTTTAGAGCTTATTACAAAATATTGTAGGCATGAATCATATACATCTACATAGAGCAACTAATGTGACATACTATCTTATCGATAGATGACATTAACTTAGATCACAAGGGTTAATATATGACAAATAATACCCAATGATTACATTGTAAATAATTGTTTAATATCCATTGAAAAAGCAAAACATAAAGAACTAAAATTTACATAAAAAACCCATTCACAAAAACCATCTAATTAAAATATAACATTATGAACGTACTAAAAACCCTAATTAGTAAATTAATGTTTGTGTTATTCACATATAACTGAAATACAGTCAAAACCGGTTATAACGACATTGAAGGGACCGTATAGTTGCCGACGTTATATCCGATAGTCGTTATAAGCAATGTCATGTACACAAGTACAGTACATATGTATGTACATAGTTATCGATCTAGAATAGGTAGGTATGGGTTATAACTTATAATATGGTATGTTAATATTATAATATGTAAACGAGTCAAAAAAGAAACAAAAATATTTATTACGAAATAATTAGGTACAAAAGTAATCAGTCAGTCTGTTTTTTTAGCCCAGTCTCAAATATTTTTTGCATTTTACGTTTCATACTCCTCAAGGTATGAGTATCACCAGTATCAAACTGTTCGTTAAAGGCAACAAATTTTTGCAAAATCGTTACAGCGTTAAGAGCCTCGGAAATCGTTGTTGGCTGAAACTGTTCGTTGGGAGAAAGTGCGTAGGTAATAATATGCCTAAATATTCATTCAATGCTTATAAATAAAATTTAAAATCGTTTGTATTGTTTTGTTTTACTGAGACAAGAAGCGGTTGGTCGTTATATCCGATGAATATCGATAAACTTTCGTCGTTGTAAGCGATATGTCGCTGTATCCGATGTTGTTATAAGCGGTTTCTTTACTGAATAGTTTACTAGGGATTCGGACGGGACCATACAATCTGGTTGTAATAACCGATAGGTCGTTGTAAACGATGTCGTTATAAACGGTTTTGACTGTATTTTATAACGAATTGACACTTGTAGCGACACCTAGTCTATGGCTAGAAATCACTACGATGACGTCATCGGTCATACCCTGAAACGCGCTCACGAAGTTATTCCAACCGCGAAGGTATACTCGACTATTGGGGCCTTCGGCCCAGTACGGTTAACCACTGAGGTTAAACTAGTCGAGGATCGCTTTAAGTTGGAGAAACTGTGCACCATACTTCCTCCACCGTTTATAAATATCACGGTAATATGATTTTTAAGCTATTGCATAGCTTCTATCGCGGGCCTCGCGCGTGGAGACCGAATCCAGAAATTCCGTAACGAAAAAAACCTTACGCGTTAGAGCGGGACAGAACTCACACTGCGTATTCACATCTCTCTGACGAGATCGGTGCAGCCGGTGCGCGTTAGAGTGACACAGACTATATAGGCGAGTTAGTCTCAGTATGGTAGAGTGGTAGATTGAATTAATTATCAAATAAAAAACTTGAATTAATATCAAAGAAAAAATACTGCATAAATAAATAATTATAATTGCATAAGTTTAAAAAAAAAATATGCAATAGCTTTACCGCGGCAGTCCCCGACTGCAACGTTTTTTTTTATAAATTTAATGATCAAGAACACAGGACTTGACAGACACAGGACAGGTTTGTGTTTATTTATATAACAAGTGACAATAGTTATAAGGACATTATATAAATATTTGAGGGAAAAAGAGGGTTTCAAATTCGAGTCAAGCTGATCCATATCATAAAATACAGAAATCAGTTCTAGGCTTTTCCTACTATCAGTACAGGCATGGATTAAATAAAAATTAAGATAATAATAAAAACTTATATTACTTACAATACACAGCAAAATATCCCCCGAACTCCAACGCAGCAACATTAAATGCAGCCAATTGCTTGGCACCAGTTGTACTTTTTCTCGCCCAAACAAACACCCTTGTTATATCATCTCCGTTATTAAAAGAACAGCCTTTAGTTATGAATATATTATGGGCGATGGAATTTGACAAAAAATATTGGATGAGTTTAAAAATATCCTCCGCTGCATTTTTGGCATTGCCATCAAAGCAAAATCCTGGTATTGGATAGTTTTCCATCAACCATAGTGGTCCTTTGATATTTATGCAGTTCTGAAATAAAAAATTACCACTACAATCAAAGATTAGTTGAAATAAAGGCTTTGAACCACTGCAATACTACGAATTAATTTTTGTCAGTTCCGTGAATTTTATTCTTATAGGCAAGTAGGTGATCAGCCTTCTGTGCCGAACACCGTCAACTTGTTGGGTCAAAAGCATGTCAATTTCCTCACGATGTTCCACCGCACAAGTGAGTGTTAAATGCGCATTTACTAAGGCTATTGGGCATAAGTGCAGAGGCTAAGCCAACAATGCTCACTACTCAAATACAGCAGTAGTTATTTTTAAAACTCCCTTTGTTCTAAAAATAAGTATTGCTAGATGTAATAAAAAAGAGGGTGCGTGTACTTATGTACGCGCGTAAGAAGTTATACTTCTTTGGCATTATTAAAAATAGTTTTTGATTGCATGCAAATAATTAATTACAATTAAATAATCAAAGACTGGAAAAGGAGTCATTAAAGTCAATAAAGTTCAGTTTACATTTGAAAAATTAATTAAATAAATATTTATTATTATTCTCTTACATTAAACAAATAAAACACTATTTATCTTTAAAACATTTTTATTTCATTATACTATTTATTTTTAAGTGACTCTAATGTCTTCATCAGAATTTCGGTTTGTAATTTTAAATTAATCATTACTTGGTTGTGCATCTACGAGGCTTCTCCAAAACTACTTGCTTTCTGCAACAAATAAGAGAATATTAATTTAAGCTCTGTCCATGCAAAACTTAAATTTTTTTATAATTCATATTATAAATTTTTTTAACACATTTATATTAATATAATTATATAAATGTGTTAATAATATAATTTGTAGCACATGCTACAGACCTGGATAGCAACTTTCTTTTATTCTATTTAGAGATAGAGATAATTTAAATATAATACCGGTGTCTTCCTTGTAGGTTTCTTTGGAGTTGTTTGGGGATTCTTGTTGTTCAGTTTGACATGATTTTCTTTAACCTTTCTTTAATCCTACAAAATAATGAAATTGTTAAGTTATGTTGTCACTGTTGTGCACACCTTTGTTTGGCTTTTTTTAGTATTCAAGTTATGTCAAAACTGATTTATTACCTTGTCATTGTTGGCTTTATTTGCTTTTGGGATATCAATTGTTTCCAATATGATTTTATTTGTAATAACCTGAAATATATAAATAACATCTATTAATTTAAGTATCATGGTGAGTGGTTCGCACTCAGGTATTAAGGTGTATTATACCCACTGTCCATTATAAGTGGGAATAGGCTCACTTCTGGCAGGACAGAGTTTCGGTACTACAAGTGCAACATGGATGTTTTGAGGTATTACAATATCTCTAACTACCCTGTAGGGGAATAAAGTAATGTTGTAAGCATATGCCTATGCTTGAAAGGTTGAACCTTGAACATCACCATACATCATATTTATAATTAACATTCCTACCTCGACACCATCACAATCAAATTCATTGAAATCTACTTCAAACCATTGTGTCTCGAGAAGGTGATGGTGGCTTTGTTCCACCTCCAGTTTTTGATGTTTCACGGCGATAAGATGACAACTCTTTTTTTTGTATTCAATTTAGTGCACTTCCACTGATTCATCAATTGTTTTTTGTCTCTTGTCCTTATATTTGCTAGATTAAATCTGATGTTTTGATTAAATAATGTGGTCATTTTTTTGAGATGCAGGTACTTATTAAAATGTTTACTTCTCTGTTATATCGCTCCAAGCCTTCATTTTCTCCTTATTAGTATTCGTGCTTAAATCTTTGTTCTCAATTATTGATATATAGGGTCGTAGAATATTTCCAAAAAAGTTGCTGTAACAAACGCAATAAACAAAAGCAATGAATAATGGTTCATGTTTCAGTTTTAATCAACAATAATACTCGATAATACATACGGATAGTTAACCTCAATTGTATTGAAGCACTCAGGAAGGTTAGCACAGTTTTTTCACAAATATTTTATATTATTTCACAAATATTTTGTATAATGAAAATAACTAGGTATATAATTATTAATTTTAAACAATAATTAAAACTCCTATATTTGTTTAAAAGGTAAATGTCATTGTCAGATGTCAATTGTCATGGTCATTCAAAATTCTTGTTAAGCTGCTAAGCTAGAATATGCGTGAAGTTAGCTTCACGCATATTCTATTTCTTTTTACTTGTAGTTTGTCTTATTCCCATCTCGCTCGCGCACGCTATATCACACTGCCAATTTTGTGTCATAGGTGCGCGCGCAATCGTAAAATTTCACTCTCATAAATTTTTCATAACGCGCCTAAAGAAGTACAACTTCAAAAGAGTAATCAAAACATTAATCTTAGGAGGGGGATTTTCTTATAAGGAGAGATAAATTGCTCATCTATGTCTATTCAATAGACAGTTTAACAATCATGCTTGTGACTTTGCCCTAAATTCATAAAAACAAAAACCAGTCAAATCGCACTCTTCTAACTAAAGTACTTTTTTTTGCTGCATAATAAAGAGACCAATAAGTACTTTAGATTAAATTAATTTGGACTGATTTATTTTATATGGGGGTTTGCTTATAGTGATATTTACAAGAGACAGTTTACAATTAAAACACAGCCTTAAATGTTATGGTCTCATTATAAAACATGGAATAGACAGAGTTTGTTACCATGGTTACTTTAGGCTGATAGACTTGTTCACCATTGTATTATAATTATATAGAACAACATTTACAATTAAATTACTTACAGCATATTCAATAGGCAATTTTTGTTTTTCAAATACTAGATGATAATGTAAGTGATTCACTGAAGCCAATGCACATAAGCTGTTAAAAGCAATCCGTAGGTCACTGTAACAAATAAATATATGATCTTAAATACATCAGCTTTAAAGAAATATTCTATACCTTTATTCTGCCCTCGTCATAATATTGAGCTAGTGAATACAAAAAAGTGTTTCAAAATTAAAAAAAACTATTATTTTAACTTCAGGAAAGGCCTTAACTACTAACAGAAAAAAGCAGTACTTGCCTATACTCACCAATCCTGGGACACTGAATGTATATATAAAATTAACTTCAGACTATCCAGTGTGACCACTTGTGGAAGCATTTGATAAATAGATGGACATAGTAGTGAATGGTAGTAGTTTATAGGGCTAACATTGACAACAATTGCATGTATGTTTGTGGCTGAAATAATCATACAAAATTAGAATACACTTTGATTGTCGTATCATATTAATGAACACTTAACTTACTAGTCTTGTTAATTATATTATCTTTATTTATAAATATACAAAAGCAAGCAATCCTCAATAAGTATGTCACATTAAAATTCACATACAACTAATCACAAATATTATACAGTGCATACAGAGAGGCAACTTTTATACCTCATACAAGATTAAATTTTCCTAAACATTATAAATTTCAAGAATAAAAAAATAGAAGTTAAGAAGAGGAAATAAGAAAAAAGTATTACCAGTATCTTTATTCCAAAATTTGTAGAGAACTTCTTGACTTGATACCTTTGAGAAATTAAATTTATTTTCATCAAATGGCTGGCAAATATCTGTCATATGTTCAGGCTGTCTTCTTTTTACACTTCTATCATGGTTTAACTGGGAAAAAAAATAAACACCTTTAAGAACATGTTTAGCAATAACATCTTTGAGTATATTAATTATTTATAATATTATTAAAAAAAAATTAATCCTACAGCAGTTTTTAAAATAAATTTGATAAATAAAATCAACGTACCTGTAGCACATAATTTCCGGCTAGCTTTTCTTTTAATGTCCCTAATTTGTATCTAAAAATGCTCGTATTCACATGCAATTCATGCCATTTCTCCTTTAGCTTTTCTATAAGGATAAGATCTTCTCTAAAAATATCATCTGTACATTGAAATTCAAACATTTTTAAATATTTAATATCAAAATAAACAATAATTGGAATTTGGAAGTTGCCTGCTGATACATTTTTTTTTTTTAATTTTATGACAAGATGGCTTAACAGCAGTGTTCACAACCTGAAGCCAGGCAGTTATCGTACCAGGGCCGTAAAATTATCGTATATGTGATCCCAATACGATAAATTGTCGTACAGTCAGGAAAATGGCTAAAAATACTTTAAAAATCATATGAAACGTGAAAATAAAATGTTGCAAACGATTTATAGTTTAAATCTTGTAAACTTGTGTTTTTCAAATTGAAAAAATAATAATAATTCAATCTCTTCCGTCAAAGAGGAACAAAAATACGCAATATTTTCTCGTTGAACAATATGGTGTTCGCTCAAAGTGATATACCTATTGTCCGTAAACATCGCATATTATTTTTATCACTTAAAATTCGTTAGGTATTAAAATGTTATCGAAGACTTCCAAATCTGCGTCACCATACAAATCGTGAATTTTTTGGCTGTGCATTCTGATGCGTTTTTGTGTTTGTACATTAACGCTTTGTTCATCTGCTGTAGTTGCCTTGTGACAGCATAAGTTCCTAATAGAAAAATAAGCCAATAGATGGCACTGACACTAAAAACTGTAATTGTTATTGGGCTATCTGTGTAATCATCAAATTTTTTATCACACTGGAAATTATCGTAAAATCTGCGTACGATAGTCATGTACCATCGTACATCGTACGTAGATATGAAATTATCGCAAATGTACGATAATTATCGTACGGTTGTGAACCCTGCTTAACAGTAGTGTATGTAGAAAGTCAAAAACTTAATTTGTATGGAAATGACAGTTCGTGTCGAAAAGTTTTCATACAAATTTAGTTTTTGACGTTCTACATACACTACTGTTAAGGCATCTTGACTAAGGCCCCTGGTAACATAGACCTTTAAGTCATGACTTATTTGGAATCCTGCTGATACACATTAAAATATATCCACAGAATATAACGATAAACTACAGATGTATTACAGACAACTACAGACTACAAAAGTCAATATCTATTTAGATTTTAGTCAGGGTTTCTCACTCATGTCTCATTGAATAAGTGGTTAGCTGTTTGCATGTCATGAGGTTTGGGTTATTTTCCCGGGGGTTAAGTATTAACTAAGTATCAGCGGCCATGTCGGACACCCATCACAGTACAATGGTTATTTTATTGGAGCTGCATTTGCTTGGATTAAATTTATTGCATTATTTTTTGTGGCCAATTGGTTGAATCACATTATTTGATTCACTTTTAGAAATTTTAAAATGACTGCCCTATCCAAAAACATAATACTCTTAACAATATAAAAATACAAATACAATGATTTTTCTTATAATTTTAAACAATTGAAATAATTAGTTCTAAAATCATAACTTAAAACATTTCTGGCTTAAGATTATTGGGATTCAATGGGTTATTTTGATCATAAAGCCAAAGTACATCAATAATTTTCATCGAGATTTTTGTAGCTTCTAAAGAGTCCAACTGACTTAGTTTTCCTGTAACAGCTTTTCCAATTTTACTATTTTTTGAATTATTAAGGCCAAAAGCATCATTTTGAACTCCTTTAAATACGGATAACAAGTTTTCCGCAAAATTTCTACATGATATTCTCAAATCTGTATTGCTTTCTGAAGAGTTATCTTCGCTTTTGCTGTCTATCACAGGTTCTTCTATATCTGATAGATTCTGCAAGAAAAGGTAGATGCTTTTTAAAAAATAAAATTTAATCACAAATACTTTTTACTATAATGTTAAAGTAAGTTTTTTTACCTCTGTAGATATTTCCTCATTTACATTGAGTGTCCCATGGTGTGAGTTTTTTGTTACTTTAAGTAAAAACTGACATGGTTCCCACAAGTGCCAGTTAACTTTATAAACCTTAAAAATGTTTTTAATATATTAAAATTAACTTTCCTGTATTAGTATACTTTCTGTGTATAAATATCACATTAAATCGTACCTCATTTTCAGCTGAACTAGATTTTACTTTTCTTAAATAATTTGCAAATGTTGATCTAATATTTGTCCATCTCTCTTTAACAGCTTGGCCAGAAAATGCATCTCCATATTTTGCTGCAAATTCAGCATATGTGTTATCTTTAGTTTCACTAGAAGTATATTTGGGATGCTTTGGATGCCAAATATTTGGCTTGCTTTTTATGAATTTCACTAAATTCAAGTTCATTTTTCTGGTCCAAAATACTTTTTCTTTTTCAAAATCTGATATCATTATGTAAACACAATACTAGATCATTTATATAACTGCAATTTATTTTCTACTCTTAGCTTATCTACACTTTCTTATAATTATTATAACAAAAAGTTATTCATTATTGTTTATTATGATTTCGATTTGTTTTTGTTGTTGTTTCAAGGTACCACAGATAAAGTAGACAATGAAGATGCGACCACAGATATATCATGGTAGTTGTGGCAGATAAGTCTGAGTTTTCACCACGGATTATGGTTTGGTTTTTACTGTTTACGTATTTTTTTTTTGAGATATTCTGATGAGATTCACGAACTGATACGGAATAGCAGTAAATAACGCGCGACAATATTGTACAACATAATATTATACAACAGTCAATTTGGTAAAAACCATGTTAAAAACACAATAATGTAAAGTAAACAATAGTCTCAAATATTATTCACTTGCTTAAGTATAGCTTTGTAGTAACATATAATATATCCAAATACAAGAAATTTATCAAACTTAACAAAAATATACTGCTTTACTAAAAACGTACCTTAATATAATTATTTTTCAATATTGAAGATTATTTTATTTTGAGTACCTAGTATATATTAGGTCCTTACATATGAAATTGGCGTTTTATATGGGAGGAACAAAAAGTCGAATATTTTTAAATATAATATATTTAATTAATCAAAGTATGAACCATTGTTTTCTATGCACTTTTGCCATCTCATAGGTAGTTCATTAATCCCTTTACTAAAAAAACTAGTCGGACGGGAATCAATAAAATCTGTGAAGGTGATTTGGACTGCCCCATCAGAGTTAAATTTTTTCCCTTGCAAGAAGTTGTCCAAATTTCGAAAAAAATGGTAATCTGTTGGAGCAAGGTCCGGGGAGTACGGAGGATGTCTTAGACATTCCAATTGAAGATCTTCTAATTTGGTAGCCGTCTGTTGTGCAGTGTGTGGTCTAGCGTTGTCGTGAAGTATCAGTGGCGTGGAGCGATTGACCAGCCTAGGTTGTTGAGCCGCTAGCTTTTCCATCATGGTTTGCAATTGCTGACAATAGACATCAGCCGTAATAGTCTGGCCAGATTTGAGAAAACTGCAATGATTAATACCGGCACTAGTCCACCAAACGCTTACAAGTAACTTTTTTGGGGTTAATTTTCGCTTGGGGCAGGATTTGGCTGGCTGGCCAGGATTCAACCATTGCGCTGAGCGCTTCCGATTATCGTAAAGAATCCATTTTTCATCACAGGCAATGATTCGGTTTAAAATATAGTAATGTAACGCAGCAGTCGACGCGCGTTTGCCGGTTTGCTTCAGTCAATTCGTGAGGTACCCATCTTTCAAGCTTTTCAATCTTTCCAATTTGCTTCAAGTGAATTAAAACAGTTTTATCACTAACACCGCAGCCTGCAGCTAACTCGGACGTGGTTTGCGATGGATCAGCTTCCACAATAGCCTTCAATACTTCATTATTAACTTGGGTCTCAGGCCGTCCACGGGGCTTGTTCTGCAGGTCGAAATTTCCAGAACGAAAACGTTGGAACCAAAAACGAACTGTGTTTTCTTTTGCAACATGACCGCCATACACATCATTCACCCTTCGAGTCGTTTACGCAGCACTAGTGCCCCGGCGGAACTCGTACTCGTAAATAATGCGATATTTTAAGTTTTCCATTTTGTAAAATGAGTGACGCAAACAGAAAAAAACAGAAGAAAAAAACAAATGAATGACGGTCATCGAAGCACAAATACATGAGTAAATAGCTGTACAAATTTGAATTTGGAATTCCTTACCAAAGAGGAGAACATCGTGATTAAAGTGGCCAGTACGAAATACGCCAATTTCATATGTAAGGACCTAATATTATTTTAAGATGAGATTTAATTTTAAAAAAGTTGAAATCTTATTTATCTATACAAACTGGTATAAAATTATAAAACACCGCTTTGGCAGGCAACAGAAAGTTCTTGTAAAAATTAGTAAGTAAGAAAACGCGTTTTAACCCGGTAAACTTCATTCAAAAATGTCATATTACCGTAACAAAATACAATATTATTCTACCTCATTTTATTATTAAGACACATTTCTAATCGATCGGAATAAAAAGTATTTTTTTAAATATTATCAAGAGAATATTTTCGTCTGATCGTCCGACGTTACCGTAAAACAGGTATAATAGAAAGTTTAATAAAAAAAAGAGAACGCTTGTCCGTGACTGCAATGCCAGATGCCACCCAACGGTAAATCTGCCGTAGTAATCTCACGCTACCAGTCACCGACAAACCTCCGAACGAGGCGGCCTTAATCATGGGCCGTTCGCTCCAGTCATTCGCGGGTTACGTCCGCCCTTTCTCCATCATAGGCTCACGCCAGGCATCCGGATGCCCATTTTCAAAACGTCAACGTTCCCAAATAGCACCCGCCGCCGCCCTTACTGACGAGGTATTCTCAAACGCAAAACCCTACTCGGAGGTGCCCGGCCCTAAACCCATCCCCCTTCTGGGGAATACGTGGCGAATGGTACCAGTCATTGGTCAATTTGATATATCTGAGTTCGCGAAGGTAACACAACAGTTTCTGGATAAATATGGTAGGATTGTCCGACTCGGTGGATTGATTGGGAGGCCGGATTTGCTGTTCGTTTATGATGCTGATGAGATTGAGAGGATGTATAGGCGTGAAGGACCGACTCCGTTCAGGCCTGCCATGCCTTGCCTTGTGAAATACAAGTCTGAAGTGCGGAAGGATTTTTTCGGTGATTTACCAGGAGTTGTCGGAGTGTGAGTAACTAATTTTTTTAAATACATATCGAAGTCATTAGAAGATATAATTTAATCAGATTCATGTTATGTGCGATAAATATAATAATTATAAAACTTTATTCATGACCGAATTATGGTTGTGACAAATATCTAACCTGGACTGGCCCCATCCCCTGTTATTTTTAAGAAAAAGTAGTCTTACATTTCACAAAATTCGTATAAGAACGTAAGTATGCGTGAATGTAGGAGTATTCTATATTTGTAATAATATATAAAGAATGCTTTATATAAACATTTATTAAACTTTCCGAATTACTTCCTAATTAAATAATATTTTTTCGCGATAACAGAGATAGTGGGAACTACTCTCTTTATTGTTAGAAAACATGAAGACTTGAAACCTTTATTTAAAAAAGGGTACCTATTGAAGCTTCATGTTGAATGTCAAAATTTCTTCATGTTGACTACTTTCCCGGTAACTTTCACCAAGTTAATTGCGATAGCTACATTAACTTTGTTTGTACACGAATCTAGATGTGTATTACACGAATTTTGCTCTAAGATCTGATTTATTATTTATTGTAGGGAGTAACTATTAATGTATCAAAATGTATGACAAAATATTAATTAAAAAAACATAATTTTTCGTTGGTATTTTACATATTAAACGTCATATTTGGTTGGGTTGTAAAGAGTTTTCGTTATATATAGACAAAATCTTAACATTGTTTGGTCAACAGGGTAAACCAACAAAAGTCGAGTTCGAGTTTTGACGTTTTGGGAATTAAATTGAGTGATGATAGATTTTTCACTGTAATGATAATTCAAAAGGAAAACTAAGTTCCCAAAGTTGTCACCTACCATGCTTTAAAATCGAGTTCTGGACAATAATATTGATTTTAATAGGTTAAAGGTCAAAGCTAAGAGGTTATCTTTGATGTCATGGTTGAATTTCAAAATATTCTAAACATATTGCAATCTTGAAAATTAATTGAGTAAAGAATGGTATTCTAAATTCAAAATTTACTTTTCGTTGATACTACTGTAATAGTGCGTATAAACAAAACTAAGGTTATATTTTTTGATAATGCTTCCAAATTTGAAATGTATTAATATCAAAACTGTTATTTTTCAACCTTTACTGTTTACTTCAGTATTGCTTGAAGTCCAGTATATCCGTATATCTCTCTAAGACGATAAATAAGATCCGATACGGCCATAATTCTTCTTTAACCACGAATCTACAACTAGTGGGGCTATAACTTTTAGTCTGGGCCACAGATATCTGCAATTGTTTCGTGATCATTCTAATAGGCAAGTAGGTGATCAGCCTTCTATGCCTGAAACAGACTTAACGTAAATTAATCAATAAGATATATATATAATCAATTTAACATTTATTCTGTTGACGTTCATAATTGAAAGTTATTTTTAGTCTGAGACAAGGATAAGAGTTGCACGCTCAAGCCACTAAGCCAACACTGCTCTTGACTGCTTGCGTAGTTCATTGACAATTTTTTTTGCTATGCTTTGCAATGCTCTCTGGAACATTGTAGTTGGTTTTTGATAGAGTATATACCTAAGCAGTGTTGGCCTAGTGGCTTCAGCGTACGACTCTCATCATTAGGGTCGTAGATTCAATCCCCGACAGTGCTCCAATGAACTTTCTGTCTATGTGCGCATTTAACATTCGCTCGAACGGTGAAGGAGAATATCGTGAGGAAACCGGCTTCCCTTAGACCTAAAAAGTCGACGATGTGTTTCAGGCACAGGGGGCTAATCACCTACTTGCCTATTAGATTGACAAATGAGCCTGAAACAGATACAGAAATCTGAGGCCCAGGCCTAAAAAGGTTATAGCGCCACTAGTTTTTTTATGTACCTAATTTATGCAGGTTTTCTGAGAATGGTTGGTATGGTATCGCACACTTAATCATTATTCAATCTGTGACAAATTAATTCTGAGACATCTAGCAGTTAACTTTCTGTTGATCTTCATTCGTTTATTAGCAGCTCTAAGTTGCTAAGGTAGTCTGGAGGCCGCGGGGCAACAAAGGATTGGAGGCCCCCTGGCCCCAAATTGTTTTCCAAATAAAATGGAAAAAAGAAATTCCGTCGAGTGTTTCAATCAATGTGTGAAAACCAAGTAGATTCTTTTAGTCTTCAACAAACATATAAAATATAAATACAGATCAATGATTTCTGTTAATATTTAAGAACAATATAATCATGTTTGTACAAAGGTAAAGGTAAAACAGTCGGAATTTAAAACATTTTTTTTCCGAAGTCTATTGTGGGGTCTTTTGTGGAGGGCCCGGTTTCCCTCCCCTAAAACCGGCCCTTAGTACATATCCTTGAACGTATATAATATATAATAAAAAATATATATTATATCTATATTAACTTCAGTAAACATCTAATAAAATATAACCTTGCTTCTGACTAGGTGTAAATGTATGCTCGGTCACGTTTGTTTATTACTTAGGGCATAACTTAGATCTAGTGATACTTGTAATTCAACCAAGCAATACGATACATGGATGTTTTAATACTTACACTGTTTAATGGTTGACTACTTATAAAACAAACATCACACTTAACAGAACAATAACAATTAAATAAAGAATAAACCAACACAAACAAAATATATAGAACATTAAATATTGCAATGCCAATAAATTTCCAACCCTACTGACATTCCAAATAAAATATATCGTATTTCGTTATATTTTTCTGAATCACTTAACAGCTAATTTGCAACACTAGTTTCAACATAATTCAAATGTAGCGTCTTCTCTTTTATAATTGAATTAATCAAAGAGTATTCAATCGAATAATATCTTAATGTAGTTCTGTTCTGATTATTTTCTAGACGGGACTTTTTTGAATGTGTGAACGTTTCTTTCCAAACCTTCTGACTTCAATGTTATTTTTGTCACATTGAAATTCAATATATACGTTTTATATTTACCGTTATATTCTTCAATTCAAAATAAGTATTCTCACTTTATTCTACTCAAATAAATGACCGACTTGGTATAACATGGATCTCGCAACTTTTTACGGAAGAACTGCGTTGCGAGATGTTTTTTTATATGTTTTTTTACAATTTATATTTTTGATGGCATTAACATTGTCTGCGCATTTACTTTTAGTTATTTTTTTTCACAATATAAATTGCTCTTACTTCTGTAAGATTCTTCTTAAATCCACTTTAACAGCAATGAATTAGTGTCAGTAAATTATTTTTCAAAATTTTTATTAATTCTATGATTATAAATTTGAAATTCAAGAGATTAATTGTACTTTTGACATAACTTTATTTGATTACATAGTACGAGAACAAGGACTGGTGCGTATTTATTGGCCATTTAACTGCCTTCAGTGAAATAATAAAAATAAAATAAAATCTGTTATTATGTACGAATATTTCTTTTAGTAAATGACTAGTAACTTTTTAATTTTTTTTAATATTTGTAAAGTTTTTTTGACGAATCGATGTTTTCAAGACTTTATACCATATTTAAGAAATTAAACTTCTGTTTGGCCATTCGTCACAAGTAAATGTAAGATGTAAAAGTGTATTTCCATGTACATCTTTGATCATATATAAATTTCGTTTATATTTGTTCTTAAATTTGCTACATTTTCGTGATATAAACATAATCCTTGGCCCATTAATATGTCATTGAACATGAATTGCGCTAAAACAAATGGCAAAGTCAACCATGTTAGATGTATATTTAGCACTATTAGCACTTTAGTCAGTTAGTGCGTATGACATAATATGACGTCTTTGTTATAAGGAATATTTTAACATTCCTACATATAATTTTATTAGGCAAATAATCTTCACGTGCCGGATATAACGTATAAACAAATAAGTAAACAGTGTTTGTCTATTAAGACTTTTATAATTTTCAATTACGTGTTGATTTCGCATATATGTGTATGTATAAAACATAAGTATTTTTATGTTTACAGAATAATATGATAAAGCCATAATATGTTACATTAGAAAACCGCCGTTTCCTATTATATTTTGGTTAACATTATTATTAAGCCTTTATTGCTGACACCCAGTACAATATAATAACACTTATTTAAGTTACATAATAAAACTTAATCTTATACGTCACTTGACCCGTTTTAGGTAGTAAGCGTGTTAGATCAAGAGCCCAGGACTGCCAGACCTTCGTCATTATATAAAAGCTGAAAGTTCTTCTGTGCGTGTCCCCTATACAGGTAAGAACGACCAGAGACTATAGAGTTTGGGTAGTGGTTACTTTGGCAGATAACAGGTAGGTAGTAAAGACTAAGCGCTCGCGCTCGGACCTACAGCGGACTTTCAATGTGTCTGGCAGGGTGTAAAAACCATTGAAACTGTCCGGCTATTGAGGTATCATATTTTCATAGGTCCCCAAGTAACATATATAAAATTTAGCTTTTATACTCTAACGAAAGTATAATTATAATTAATTAATGTTTAGGGGTGTCTGGCAGGGGGAAGCAACTGTCATAAGTGTCCGGCAATGTATGACGATATTTATAAAGTTATCCCTAATAAAATATAAAAAAATTGAGCTTTATACTTTAAGGGATTTAAGGTACTACATATTTTATACACCTTTACTACCTGTTATCTGCCAAAGTAACCACTACCCAAACTCTATAGTCTCTGGTCGTTCTTACCTGTATAGGGGACACGCACAGAAGAACTTTCAGCTTTTATAAAATGACGAAGGTCTGGCCTAGACAAAGAGCCCTGGGCTCTTAGGATATGTCCTGTGACACATAGGCCTCTTCCAGCTGTTTCCATTCTTTTCTGATGTTCCTCCTCCTCCAAGCGCCTCTTGTCCAAGTTGTGCCTCCTATTCTCTTTATATCTTCTGCCCATCTCTTGCTCTGTCTTCCTCTTTTTCTTTTTCCATCGCGTGGTTGCCATTCTGTAATTATTTTTGTCCATTTCAACCTGCTATCCCTCGTAATGTGCCCAGTCCAGCGCTATTTCAAATGCCTTAT